AAGCCAGAGGAGGTTACTTTGAGGAAAGCAAAGTCTAAGCAAGAGAAACTCAAATACCTGATAATTCTAGTAAAAATGTCTTCTGATAAGTTTTTCTTTAGATAATTATCTTTTTCTTTTGTTGTTGTTGCGAAGTATTATGATCTTTTTTTGTACAAATTTGATCTTGCTTCCAAACTTTTGGCCTTTAGTGTACATTGTGGGGTAACTGTAATGATGACAATGGGATGATTTTAACAGAGGAATGTAATGCCAGAACCGCTACAGAATCTGCAAAAGATCTGACACTAGAATCAGATTCATCAGCAGAGCAGTCTATTAAAAAGAAAGGCGGTAAGAAGAAAGCAAAAATTGCACCATTGTGGACAAATAAATGTGATAAAGAAATTAAGTGTAGAAAGAAAGCTCTCAGAATGCTAAAATGAATCAGTATTCAGACTCTTATTGAATATTGGAGAGAAATTTGTTGCTCAGTATGAGGGGTATCAGAAATCAATCAAGTTTGGAAGATAATAAAAAGGACAACTGGGATTAAAAGAGAGTATGGGTATCCAGTCTTAAAAGGATGGGGAAACAACAGCAGCATATATATTTTTATATATCCATCCATCCATCCATCCATCCATCCATTTTCTACCACTTATTCCCGTTGGAGGTCACAGGGGGCTGGAGCTAAGGATGAGGGAGCATTCAAAGGGGCAGGATCACTTAAGTGTGGATAGGGAAGACATATTTAAAGAAATTTGGTCTCGAAAATGGAACGCCTCAAGGTAGCATAGCCAGCCCTTCAATATTTTCTCAAATGATTAATGATGTTAGAGGGCAGATAAGGTTTTCACTTTTTGCAGATAATGGAGCAATTTGGAAGAGGGGAAGAAATTTGGAATTTATTGTAAACAAACTACATATATATGGGGCTTTAAATTTTTAGCTGATAAGACAAAGTCAATGTTTTCTAACAAAGAAAAGAATTTGAGGTTAAGTCAAACTAGAACTTTATGAATAAGAGTTAGAAAGTGTAAAACTATTTTACTGTTTAGGTTTAAGATGTGCTTAGTAGATGTGTGCATTTAGAAGGTAGGGTATTAATTAGGGCTTTACGAGTTAATTGTCATCTTATCACTAATGATATCCTTAATTTCCTAGGAAGTCTGCTCTCCACAGGGGCAATAAAAAACATATCTTATTACATCTTAATTTGGAGGGGAAAAAACTTAAAATATATGAAGCTTATTGTTAAAATCATGCAGCTTGCATGAAGAGTTGTGAGGGCTAAATTGGCCTTAAAGCTATCAGAAAAAGGAGAAATACTTATTAAATCTATGATGAAATCAGGGATTTGAACTGAGATTTCTTAGGAATTTAAATTTAAAAACAAATTTTAATACATCTTTTTTTGTGGCATCTTTTGTGTGTCTTTGGATGTCAAAAACAAACTCTGCCTTTAATCCAATATGTAAGAGGAAAAGGGAGAACAATTTCTACATCTATCATTTTATGGCATCAGGAACACTTAAACACTGATATCATACAATCAACACAATTCTGATTAAGACTGTTGGACACTTCACTGTCTCTGAGAAAGTGATATATGTTGTGAAATAGTAAAGTGAATCAGAAACGCCCAGTGGCTTGGACTATGCTCAAACTGTTGTTTCTAATATTTTGTCTCTACCTGCTTTGGCTCAACCAAAGCACTGAACACTGAATTTTGGGTGAGCTCTATCCTTAAACTAATGCTTTGATTAATGATCAGAGCATATTAGTTGGGAGTCTGACTCCCAGTTTCTCAATGCAGGGCTCCTAGCATGGCAAGAGCTAGCTCAGTTTCCATAGTAACTCTACACACTGCATAAGCCATACCCCCCCCCCCCCCCCACCACCACCACCACCACCACCACCACACACACACACACACACACACACACACACACACACACACACACACACATGCAGCCCTAACAGCTCTATGCGAGGCAGAAAGTGCAGTGATAGAGGATGCTGTGCGGTACTCTCCAGCGTGGCACATTAACCTACTTCCTCACCAGACTGGGAAAATAACCCGGATGGATGAGGGAGAGGATGATAGGGAGAATGAAGGGAAGGGTGGTGACAGTATGGTCGAAAGAAAGGACGGTTGGGACCAAAAAGGGTAAATTAGAGAGATGCGTTAAAGATGGAGAATAGGGAACGTGATAAATTAGTTAAGGAGAGAAGGAAATGAAACAAGCACTGGACAAATAAAAAGACAAGGTGAAAGAAAAGGACACAGGGAGATCTTGGGAAAATGGCAGTGGGTTGTAAGACTGTATATGTGCCAAATATTGACTCTGTACATTCTGCACAGTTAAAGACAGTGGTAATGGAATTGTAGGTCATTCACCAGAATTATGATGACACAAAATTATAACTTATGAAAGGCATCTTTAAAGCCATCTTTTGTACAATATGTTTACTTTTAAAATTACATCCATTGATCAATCAATCAATTCAATCTTTTTTTTATTTATTTATATAGCACCAAATCACAACAATATCACTTATATTCACTGACACAAACAAATACCATTCATCTGGGCATTTCCTGCAGCACAGAGAATCACCTGGTGGTCTCAACACAGAAAAATTCTAATATTTGGTATATGTTCCAAAAACAAGCTCATTACAACAGCAAAAGCAGCGCTGATCAAACTCAGTGATTACCCCTTTGTATCCTTTCGACATCCACTCTCCTCTGCCCATGTGTAGAGCATCCCTCTGCTGTCCTAATGAGTGGATGGAGATCCCCTACCTTTCTTTAATCTGCTTTGCTTCCTAACTCTGTCACACTAATTCAAGAATTTCCAGGAAACAGCACAATCTTATCCTTTTCCTTACTCTTTCAGCAGTAACAGGACAGTACACCAAGACAAGTGATCTCAAAAAGAAAAAAAAAAACCCTTCTCTGATCCAAGCCATCTGAAAAGATAAAAACAAAGGGAGGGAAGATAAGGTGCAGGGCGGTGAGTGAGGACTTACCAACATGAGTGATGACACACTGCACCCTCTGTAGCAGCTCCTGGACCGACATCTCGTCTTCTCTTAGCCAGCAAAGCATCTCACAGTGTGTGGGTCGCATCCACTCTCCTTTACATCACTCTCTCCCTCTCTCTGTGCTCTCTCTCTCTTAACTGCCACGCCTCCTCTTTTCACCCGTCCAATCCTGACAATCTCCTTTGCTTATTTATTATCAAATGTCCTTTTTTCCTCCCTGCAGCTTTTTATTCTCCCAGTTCTTTATTTTTGACTTCTCTTATATGAAGCCCATCCTCTTCCTTATCATAACTTCTCACCGTTCAAAAAATCAGGAAGCAAAGAGATGACAGTGATGATGCCACTCCCAGTCAGCCAGTCAGTAAAACAGTAAGCCTGGGAATAAAATGATCAGGTTGTTGCTCAAGCATAGGCTTTATAATCAAAACAGCCAATCAGGGAATAAAGCAGCCAGTGGCTGAGTCATCCAATCAGACATTAAAATAAGCAGCCAGCTAGTGTTTAGTGAACAAATAGCATGATCATTTGACAGCCAGTTTACACAGCAGCTAGTCAATACGTCAGTGATCAAAAGAGACAATTTACTTATCAGTCAGCAAAAAGTAGAGTAAGTGGGAAAAAAGCTAGAAAATTGAGGCAGTTTGTTTGTAAATATGCAAGCAAAAAAATCTAACCAAAACAATACAAACAAACAAACAAAAAACAAAGAGATGCAGGATGTAGATTGAACAAGGCTTTCAGTCAACAAAACAATGCCCCAGACCTTTTCATAGTCCTGCATAGAAGACCCAAATAGCAGAGGAATTTCAACTCCAAAATACAGTATTCCACATTGGGAAAAAGAAAAATCAAAAAGAGAAAAATAGCAAAAAGTGTGCCTCTCAGAAGGGCAAAAAATAGAGATGAGATTTTGTGGGTCCACTTCCCTGATGGGGACCCTCTTCAGGCTCTTTGTAGGAAAGAAACGCTGCTCCTTTGGTTATCCTCTGTTTGGTTTAATAAAGAAGCTGAGTCACAATGAGAGAAAACGAATCAGAGAGCTGCAGTACCTGCCTGCGGGGCGGAGGAGGAAACAAAAACAAGCAGGAGGGTAGGGGTTCAAGAGGAAAATCCTGGCACCTAGAGTTGAGCTGTTGATGGATTGGAGTTTGTGCCTTTTCATTGATTTGATCTATGTCATCTGACATCTGTTAAATTTCAGACAGCAGGAATGACAGTAAATTATTTTAAAACCTGTATTTTTTGTGAGTCTCTAAAAAGACAATAAAGCTAGGCGTATTTGATTTCACCACAATTTTTCACAAGAGCTTCCTCAAATAAATCAATAGTTTCCAACCATCATTAGCAATTTTTACAGCCTGCGCTCATTCAGTGCCATAAGAGGCCACTCCTGGGATCCTGCTCCATGTTTTGACTCAGACAAACAACGCCAGACACAGGGCAAAGCGTCTCTTTATGAAGCAAATGGCTCATGGGACTGTGGAGATTCCCTGAGTGACAACCACTAGAAGGAGACAGCTGAGATCAGCCTCACCCTGCCTCACACTCATCTTCACCATGCCAGCAAATGACAGACCCTACTGAAGTCCTTCCAACAGCAGTAATAGCAGCTGGTAGACAAAGCATGTGTACTCCCTGACAATGTGTGATGTAACCAGAATGATGATTAGTTTAATGAATGAATTGAATGAAGCATAAGCACTGTGCGCTTATGTGCACCGCCGACTTTGACTTACTCTGTTTTGTATGCAAATTTCATCATCAGCAAGAAAATATTAGTTTAAAATGTTATATTTCTTTTTATTATTCAAGTGTTAAGAGCAAGAAACGCTGTTAACAAAAATCAAGTGTGGACAGACGAGAGGGGAGGAGACATCGAGGTTACAAAACACTGTGGAGTTGGGGACGGCTAAAATAAGGGGCGGGACCAACTCTGGCATCATCAGCACCTGATTGGATCTGACGATATGTCGTCGACGGAAGTTGATTCCACAACCCTGGCGGGAAGACACCGCAGATTTTAGACACGACATCAACCCAGCACTGTGTCTACTTTTAAGACATCCAGTGATCTCATCAGGTAAGTTTCGACAGCTTATTTCGCACTCCGACTGTGGGACATCTGATTGGAACAGTGTTTTTCTCTACAGCTGTTAAAAGGTAATATGAGTGCATTAAACTGTAGTTAGCTACTAGCTTACAATTGCTTAAAATAGGAGCCCGTGCTAACTGTGGAAGCTAACTCCGGTCAAAGTGGTGGTAACTATTGCGTTTAAAGTAATGCATCCCATTTCAACTAAGACATTTGTTGTTCCTGCCACGGTGAAAACCTCGCTCTAGCAGAAAAGCTTCGCAATAAGCAAATTCACGACTTACTTCGATTTCTTCTTAGACATTGCTGTGCACTCTGGAGTCGATGTTAACTCTTATTTCTTCGTTTCGACATTTAGTATTTTTATGGACAAAACCAAGCCGTTTGGGGTATTTGTTAATGACTGTCCCTAACAATAAACTAGTTTAACAATTTAAAACAACCCAACAATAATGGCACACGGAAGTTCATTTAGACATGAACTGAAAAAAAAGCTTTTAAGATTATATTTATCTAATGTGTGCGTCTGTGCATGTATTTCTATGTTTGTTTGTCTCATGGGTTTTCTGCTGCTTCAGCCAAATCAAGAGAAATCATGCAGGCGTTTTTGAAAGGAGCAACTGTTCAGTCCACCAGACCACTGAAAGACAAGGCAACAGCAGGGGTCAGCACACAGAAGAGAGCTAAGGCAGTTCCTTGGGTAGAGAAATAGTAAGTGGAAACCACAGAGACCTTTACAAACACAGTAACCTTATGTGTAGGTTGGATAATCTCAATAATTTTCAATCCAGAGGTCAAACACTTTGAAGTTATACAGGAAAATATCATCCAAGTGATTTGCTATGTTGAGATCATTGCTTTATCTATTCTTCATCTAAAATATAATGACACAAAAGCAGCACTAACAGCTTATGAAATGTTTTCAAAGATACTCTCACAGTTTGTGTCATAACACAAGGGCTGCAACGATTAGTTGACGTAATCGATTACGTCGACACGACAAATTCATTGACACGAAATTTAAGCGTCGTGTTATTGTTGTTAAGAATCACATGCCGGCGCCTCATGCTCATCTATAACTGCAGTGCACTACAGGATGTGCTGGGGGCAGTAGCGCTCGCTGTTTACATCCCGCGAGCAAACACAGAAGAAGAGTGCACACATTATGGCAGAACAAACTGAAAAAGACGCTCCAAAACTCCGACCCAAAACTTCAAAAGGTTGGGAACATTTTACGGAGAACAAACCAAAAAAACACGTTGATCAAAGCTCAGCTTTCCTACCATGGCAGCACCACGGCGATGCATGAGCACCTGAAACGCCGACACCCCGGAAATAGGTGTTTATAAATAAAGAAGATAGTGATTAATCGGACGACTAGTCGATAGATTAGTCGACAAAAAAATAATCGTTAGTTGCAGCACTACATAACACCACTGCGTCTCTCAATGGCTACCTAAGCTCTGGACCCCTTAAGTTTTCCAACAGATACTTCAGTACTCTGTACCCAGTATCTAGTCAATTGGACTGGTGAATGTGGCTGTTAACGGTGTCTGTTTTTACTTAAATTAAAACTTAATCTAGCTGCACTGAACAAGTCATCTGTCATACAGAAAATCATTAGCCAACTGAAAATCACCTCTCTGAACTGTTCACAAAAAGTCCAGCAGCACAGTTAAAGAAGTTGGTTGCTTAACAAATAAGTGGACAGTAAGTACAAGAGTTTGATGGTTTTATTTAGTTATAGTGGTAATACTCTAGTTGTAATTCTGCAACTACCTCATATAGGTAGACATATCTAATGTTCTGCCCCCTGTGTATGAAAATGTGAAAGAATAAGAAAAGCACTTGAATCCAATGATGTGCAGGACACCATACGCTGTAACCCATACTGGTCATTAGGCTTTCCGGGGTTTGAGATTTTGCAGCACAGTGACGGTGACAGTACCATACACCTCGGTATTTCACGGTGACGATGTATTAAAAAAAAAAATTTAAAGCCCGGGCTCGAGCATATTATCTCTGCCTCTGGTTCGGAGGAGTCTGCCATCATCATGCCATGCTTTGTGCACGCTTCCTGGAATGGATCATGTGGATATGGCGGAGCGTTGCTTTAGGTGTGTTTTATACCAAAACCACCTTTCTTGGGGGGGGTGACTGAACCATTTACAGGGGGCAGCGCATCATCAGCATGGGCATGGCAGCCTGCCCAGAACTAATGGAATATATGATCGTGTTTTTTTCCAGCACTCTGCAGCATCACACAGGTAGGAAATGGTTCAATATTTTGCTGCTGCTGTCTTACTGTAGCCCAGACTGACCACTAATGTTAATGTGAATGTGAAGTGATATCTTTATTATGGCAAGTCTCGCTTGTGTTGAGGCATAACGTGCACTTTACGTGCCGGCGGCGCTACATAATATTGAAATTACGTCACAGTGAGCTCAGCAATCTCACGGTGTCGCCACTGTGACTTTATTTCATCGTGATGACGGTGTATACGGAATACCGCGGAAAGCCTACTGGTCATACAACACCTGAACTCAAATATCTACTTTTTTGAGCTCCAAAACAAAGTGTTTGTGCCTTTATAGATATAGATTTTGTTTTAAAACAGTTTTAACATTTTATATTAAATTGTGCATATATACCTTACTTGCATGTATGCAATCTTTGACCATGATAATTACACCCTTCAGAGACTGTATTTAATATGTCTGTCTGCATGTATCATTTTGATTAGACACCCATTTGCTAAATAAGTGTTAACTCAGGCTGTGTTTCTGCAAACCCCAGCAGACCAAAGTGTGTTGATGAGGTAGCCTTTCAGGAGGAGGTAGTAGCTGTGCTAAAGAAGTCTCTGGAAGGAGCAGATGTAAGTAAGCTTTTTAGTGGCTTTAAAGGTCATCAACTTAAAACCACTCCTACATCATATGTCTAAGTTTTGGCTTTAAAGGAAAAAACAAATCAGTAAGTTAAAACTGTAATAATTTCTTCAGATCCTTTACTTTCAGCTTTCATTCATCTTGTTGCTGTAGTTATGAACACTGGCTGAATATTTTACAAACACAGAAAAGAGCAGAAAAGTCTCATGAAACATCTTGGAGACCTTAAATCCTCTGCAAAATAAATGTAAGGTTGGTTACAATGTTGAAGCGCCACCCCCAGCCCCCCAACACACACACAAATAATGAGCCAGTTTTGATGCTGACTTTTTAGATGCAACAGAATCATCATGCACTCAAACATGAACAAAATCTTTCTTTAACTGATAGAGTTAAAGTTGGTTGAATTCTATTTATCTTCTCTGGTTTCAAGGTCCTTGTACTGAGGAGATCAGAACTTTATTACTGGGAGAAGCATTGACGAGACAAGTCATGATAAAATTCTGTATGAAAAAGGCTTTTTAGTGCTAGCACTGTTGTGTGATAGGTTTATACTTTCTCTCCTCTTTCTGTGGGTTTAAATGATAACAAGAGGCTGTACTATTATACAATATTTTTGAATATGATATAGAAAAATTCCTGTCTAAGAAAGACCAATATTAGGTTTGTCTATCTTTTAAAGATTTTGTAAATGTTTGAACTCTCTCTTCGGTAGTTAACACCAAACGCGTCAGTTAAGATGAAGAAAAATAAACGACTCAAAAATGGGGATCCCTTTTTTCTTTTTTTAAATTCTAGAGTGTAAATGAGCTCTGTGGCTCTGACAAAACAGATATCCATAAAAGCACAGCACATAAAACAAGACAAACGGCTAATCTATACAGTCCTCTATGATGCTGCACAAAGACCAGAAGGTAAACTTACAAGTTTTGTTTGTTTTAATTTCAGCTTCCAAATTTGCTTTTTTATGGACCTCCTGGAACAGGAAAAACTTCTACCATCTTAGCTGCTGCCAGAGAACTATTCGGGTAAGTGTGCTCTTAGTGTTTTTTTTTCTTTTTGGGCAAAGAGCAGATTGTTTTTTATGACCTACATGAAGTACTAAAGAAGTCTTCTCTCTTTTTTTATTGTGCCTGTCATCTGTTTTGTACTGTTGTCACTTGCCTGTCTTTTTATCCTGTTCTCTTTTTGTCTCTCCTGCAGTCCAGAGCTGTACAGGCAGAGGGTGCTGGAACTCAATGCGTCTGATGAGCGAGGTATTCAGGTTGTCAGAGAGAAGGTCAAGAACTTTGCCCAGCTTACTGTGGCTGGCAGTCGTCCAGAGTGAGTCAGCATTCTTTGCATCATAGGTAGAGGGTACTTATGTATAATGTTTTTCTTATGGTTGCCTAGAAACAACCATTTGAACTTAAACCCCTGATGGAAATCCTGTTTCAGGAGAAAAAAGTTTTTTTTTTGTGATGAGCAGTTTTAGGTGTGCCTGTTGGTCAAGAAACATCAAAGTCTTTTCTGGTCACTGCACTTTTCAGTGGAAAACCATGTCCTCCATTTAAAATCATCATTCTTGATGAGGCAGACTCAATGACAGCACCGGCTCAGGCTGCCCTCAGGCGGACAATGGAGAAGGAGTCCCGAACCACTCGCTTCTGCCTTATTTGTAACTATATCAGCAGGTCAGTTTGCACCTCACAATCATTGAGCCACAAACACACTCTAAATGACATGTACTCACTCTGATGTGTATCATTAGGATTATTGAGCCTCTGACCTCCAGATGCTCTAAGTTTCGCTTCAAACCTCTGGCCAGTCAAATCCATAAGAAACGCCTCCTGGAGATTTGTGAAAAGGAGAACCTCAAGTACACCAAAGAGGTAAAGGAGAAATAATTTCATAGTTTTTCAGAGCACTTGAAAGCTGACTTGCACAAATACTGCTTTTTCTAAGGATTCATACAAACAGTTGATTCAGTCATCCACTTTTGTGATGATGCCAAAGACAATGGTGATCTCTATCAAGAAAATAGCAACAAATGTGTAATGAATGTTAATACTGGGAGTAAAAACCTTGTCGAACCTGATAAAGAATACTTGTGATGTCCTCAGGCCCCCAGGGGTCTCTAATCTAATGTGTAGAGTTGTGTCTGAATCTTATTCAAAATCAAGACACAGTAGTTCCTGCAATTTCAGATGGTCTTTGTTGAGGTAGCTTCTGTAGAATTAGTGACTGTTTCCTGTCCTTCTATTCAGGACTACTTTTAAAGTAAGATAGAAATTACATCCAAGTGGGACCTTTTACACTGTACAGCAAACTAATGGTGTAAGGCAAAGTCTGCACACACAAACTTGCAGTCACCACAAAATGAATCTCACCACACTTTGGGTGTCACACAGAACTGCAGTTTTATTTTATGCTCTGATAAAACTAATGTGTTACTACTGTTTTTGTGTATTCAGAGTATCGCAGCTTTGGTGAGAGTGTCTGAAGGAGACCTGCGTAAAGCCATCACCTTCCTCCAGAGTGCTGCACGCCTCAGTGTGGAAAAAGAGATCACAGAGAGCTGTGTTATTGAGATTGCTGGGGTAAGTCATACTTCTTTTGTACATGAGAGGCTTGAGACATGGATAAGGGGGGAAAAATTTTAATGTTCTGCACACCTCTGGTCAGTTTCACAAATTTGGCATGTATGGCTCTGGCCTGAGCTCTCACGGTATTCACCTCGGCCATGTGCTGACTGTGTGAGCTGCTGCTGTCAGTAGAAGTAGTCAGAAGTACACCCTTCATGATTGATGTTGCTTTATTAAAAGCATTTTGTTATGTTAATTAATTTATCAATGTAGTTATGCATTCATTAATAGAAAGTTAAGCAGGGTTTTTTTCTGGTGGCTTCAGTCGCCAAAAAACAGTGTCAGACAAAATTCTGAATGAAATCTAAAAACACTAGTGATAGGAAGAACAGTTCTTTTGACTGTACTGAATCTTTACAATCCCATCATTAAAATAAATTGTTCAAAAGATTTGTTCACCAAATCAGTCAGTGCTTCAGAGCCCTGTCCTGCCGGGTGCAGTACAGGAGTAAGTAGGGTTGGGTATCGTTTGATTTTGAACGATTCCGATTCCAATTTCGATTCCTCATTTCGATTCCGATTCTTATCGATTCTCTAATTCGATTCTTTTAAAAGGCAGGATATCAAAAAGAAAAAAGAAAAAAAAAGCATGGTTTGAATGAGGGTGCTAACCGGGGCTCTTCTTTTTGGATGAAATTTCTGAACTTCTCCATGAATTTTTAAATCCTATTAACTTTTTAAGAACTTGACTATGGATTTCTCACAGAGCTATTTTCAACCAGCATATAAATATCAATTTTTGTTTTCAGGTCGTTTGTCTATGAAAAAGTACAAGGGCTAACGTTAGTTGGATATTTAAGTTTACTCACCGTACACAGTTCAATTTCTTTACCGTTTCAAAGTTAGCAGAGGACAGAAGTAATTTATTGTTTCACTTATCTGATCCTGACTGGTTAGCGGAAGACAGGTGTTGTGCTGTAGAATGCACCCCTGCCGTAGAATGCCTCCCCTCCACTGATTAGCTTCTTAGTGGAAGAAATATGATCTCATATTTAATAAAACACGGGTATTAGATCATGAAAACGTGTCAAATGGAGCAGTAAACTTTCGTTTTGTTTGTATGTGTCTCAAAAATGCACACATAAAGGTGTACTTGGGTATATAAATTGTAGAGTAAGCTGTTAATGTAGAGAACATTATATTTTCAGGACAGTAAATATTCCGAATCAGAGGGCTATTGTTTTCGGCATATCTGAATAGCCTGAATGAAATCATTAAAGGCACACGCTTTAGATTCCGTTCAACGGTAAGGAAAACTTGGTTTGTTTCGCCGTGTTGTGTACTTTCAACCGCGCTCCCGTCAGGGCTGCATTCAACAGCAGGGGTGCATTCTACGACACAACACCGGCGAAGCGCGTCTAAGACGAGCACTCGAGTATTTCTCCTCCATGAATCCTGAGGTGTTTAATCATGTTGGTCGTTTACCCTCCTTTGCATGATATAACTGTATTGCTAATGTTGCATTGAGAAAAGAGTTCATTCTTCCTGCTAAAGTTAGCCAAACTTTTGACCAACGAAGAAGAAGCTGCCGAACACCAATGAGAACGGAGCGTATGAGACGAAGCCACACAGAGAGAGGAGAGAGACAGAGAGAGATTGTAACCCACAGCGGCTGCATTGCTGTGGGTTGCAATGTACTTTCTCTCTCTGTCTCTCTCCTCTCTCTGTGTGGCTTTGTCTCATACGCTCCGTCCTCATTGGTATTAAGCGGCTTCTTCTTCGTTGATTTTCGGCGGCTATTTCTTCCGGTCGGCGGACTCTGGCATCGAAACTTGGAATCGAAATTTTAACATTTGAACGATTCCGGAAGAATCGAAGTTTTAGTCCCAATTCCCATCGATTCTCGATTCTCGATTCTCGATTCCCAACCCTAGGAGTAAGTGACACAGTGGTGCTGATCAACTGTGTCAAAGGTGGCAGTTCCACTCCCGACCGGCATGCCATGCCCGTGGCTGAGCTTAACTGAACTAAGAAAGGAACGAATCAGGTCATGGAGTGATTCCATTCACGTTGTTCACTCAGCAGTTCCATTCTTTTGAACGAATTGTCACGAACGACAACAACACTAAAAAACACAGAAAAGGCTCTGACTCTAAATGCATACCAGGATAGTAAGGGTGTAAATGATCAAATAATGCACAAATGGGATAGTATCATGGTTTCAAGTGGATCAGATCATTGTTCAGATCAGCAAAAAAAAATTTATTTTTGTTTAGAGTATGAAAACAGCTTTAAGTGCAATATAAGGCATTCCAGAAATTCTTCTAAAATGGCAGCTAGACTTCTTGGGTTATCTTGAAGACGTTTCACCTTTCACAAAAGGCTTCTTCAGTTCTAAGGGGGAACAGGGTCTAGGGATGAAACATATAGCCTTGGGTGACATTGTCAGTGTAAGGGGGCGTGGTCAACATCTGAGGAGGTGTTTGAAGACTACTGGTAAGTAGAAGAAGTAGAAGAATCCCTGATATACCGTGACCTGGATGAATGAGAACCTTCACAGACAATATAAGGCATGATACCTTCTTCTTTACGACATGGACAGTGAATTAAAAAAAAAAAAAGTAAAGTGCAATTTAAGGCACATTTTCTTTCCTTCCTTCAAATGGGTGGCCATGCTCAATATATTTCCACTGAGTACGGCTTTCTCATCTCACAATGCCTACATACAGTAATGGTTTGGTCCACCAACCTACCTCCCTCATCACCAGGGCTCACGGGTACTTTTGCTTGGAGTAAGATTTTTTTTTAATTCTTTTTTCTTTTTTTTAAGGGGAGTTAGGGTGAAGTGTGTTTCAAAATAACTAAAATTGAGGTAAAAAACTATCTATAAAGCGAATATCCTGCATGGTTCCTCAAGTCTAATAAACCGCTATTGTAAAAAAGAAGAACAGAAAGTGATGAAGTGATTACTTGATTTCATGCTTTTACTTTCAGCTCTTCCTTGACAGGTGCACACAATTCACACATTTGTGTGCATGTAGAAGACGTGATTATGGCGCTGTTATTTCACCTGGCAAAAAGAAATATTATTTTATGATTGGCTGACAGGTCGCTGATTCAACTGTTCTGCCATCCCCTTACCCATTCATAGGTTTACTAGTGTCACTTATATATAGTGTTACTAATGTGCGGCAGGTTTTATCACTTCTCAGCGACAGAAATGTTATGTGAGCGTGTGAACTTATTAAAATGAGTGTGTCTCATGCTCAATGTGTGAGACTTAAGAGTCCTGATCATCACTGTAAGTTACAGGGAAACCAAAATGCTCCCATACAAGCGACTTCAATGATGCAGGAGGTTTTTCAAGTTCCTCTGCTCCCCCGTTAGCCACCACTACCGCTGCAGCACTTAGTGAATGTGGATTGATGATGTGTCCCTCATGTTAACATGCACAGCTTCTTATTTACATTGATCTAATGGCGGTCCACACGCGTGCCGAACCATGAAGAGGCATCTGTACGAATCACGGATCAACAATGATCTGCTGCACCACTACCGAATATGGTCATTGGACTTTCTATGAATGCTTTAGACTGGCCTACAAACTTAGACATGTGTTACTGAGTCAAGATCATCTGACTGTTCTTTTGGTTGATAACCAACATATGGCAGAAATAGGAGCCTACTGACCACAAGTATGTCGTCCTAAGAGGCATATTCCCCCCTTAGACTTAATGTGCTGTTCTGTTTTTATGTACTTTGGATTTTAAATGAAGCAAGCCATCCCACAACTGTCACGTGCTGCACATGCAGCCTATGTGGAACTGCCATAAACCTTTGTTACTCTGTTCCAAACATTTCACTTTGTCGTTACACTCTGTCATAGGTCATCCCACCCAAAATGATCGACAGCCTGCTTCAGATCTGCTTCAAAGGAACATTTGAAAAAATGGAGGCTACAGTCAGGGTAGGTGTTGTAACATATTGGAGCTTTTTTATTCTCCAAGTTTCATTCTGAATGTTTGTTGTCAGAAATATCCTTTTAAAATATAACTTAAAGTATCATCTGAGATATCTGTGATGTTAATGCAGTGTATGCCAAGTGATGACAGTCTCCTTACTCCCTGTAAGTCTATCATGTTCAATGTCTCCTCTGTTAGAACATGGTGGATAAAGGCTATGCAGCCACCCAGATCCTGAGCCAGCTTCATGAGTCAATCATAGAAAGTGACTTGACTGACAAGCAGAAATCAGCCATCACCGTGAAGATGGCGGTAAGTGGATCTTGTAGAGTTTTGAGAATGCAGTGACAATGAATAGGTGTAACCATCACACAAGTAAGAATGAGCCCATAATTGAGGAGGTAAGGTTTAATTCTCTGAGATTTCCCCTGAAGAATAGCCGATAAAGGCAGAATGTCTCACGTAAAGGACATCCAAAGCTGTTTTAAAAAGGCTGGAGAAGAAGGGGTCAGTAAGAAATAAGAAATATTCTGGTTGACTTGTGTGAAGACAAACTGAATACATATAGTATGGGTTAGAAATGCTGCCTGCTGGCCAAAAAATTGAGATTATTTTTGATCATGAGCCAGGGCCTATCCAGAGAAAGGATCTGTGCCTTTCATGGGATTATATCTTGCTTATTAAATATTTTGGGACAGTGTTTTTAAAGACTGTATTTCAGTTTACGCACTGTCTTTGGCTAAATTATACCGCAAACTAAGAGAGCTTGAATTTCTCTCATAGCTTCTCTGTGTGTTGTGGTGGTGTTTGCAGTCACACAAGCAATCCAAATATTTTCCTCACGCATATACACAGGAAATGCTCATGTAAAATACTAGCTGAAGTAAAGTAGAATTTTTTTATAACACTAGCAGGAAAGGGTGGATAAAAATACAAATGATACTGTAAGGAAACCTTTGGCAGTTCATCAAGGTATGTCTTTGCCAATATAAACAGAAAAACTGGCTTGGGAGAGCTCTCAAACAGACTTTTTGGATCAGCTCAGGACAATTCTGATGCATGTTTGAATATTGGAAAATATTTAAAAGAAAACATTGACTGAGTATGTGGCCTGAGTGAGGTCAGTAAATACTGACAAACATCAAGAATAAACTAAAGTGACCAGAAAATCTGATAAATAGATATTTAAGTAGTCTTTCGATGAAAATAAACAAAACAAACACATATATAAATAAATAGAATAGCTTTAGATGGGAATAGCATACTACCAGTTTTAACTGTGTGAGAAACTGCCCACAACTGCCCCCCAGATAATTTTAACTGTACTAAAATATTTTCAAAGTAAAAATTTTATGGAAATTATATAATTAGCTTCCATTATTTTTAGCTTCCTTGTTTTGATAGCTTCTACCTTGTCTTGCTTGATGTACTCCATCTTGAATCTGGGGTCAACTAAGGTAGCCATGTCAATTAAGTCATCAGTGTCAGGATCTGCATATTTCTCATCAAGGTATTCCATAATTTTGGTCTTCATCTCTTTTGTGAGAGGTGTGTCTCCTTCACTCACATGTAGGTGTTGAAAGCGGAACAGATGGAGCACAGGCTTCACATATGACACAGTCACATATGACTCCCCAGAGAGGCTGTCTGTAAAGTCCACAAGAGGACCTAGTGCCTCATTCATAGACTCCCAGACTTCTATGTCCTGCCAGTGTGGTACCAGGTGCCGGGTGTGTTTGTCTGCAGCAAGGAGTTGGGAGATGGGCTTCTGTTGCTCCAGCACTCTTGCAATCATTTTTTGTCAAGAGCCCCATCTGGTTGCCGACTCTGTGCATAGCTTGTGTGGGGGGACCCTGCAGTGTATCTGAGCCTCAGCTAGATCTCTCTTCTTTTTCCATGAATAAGTAAAGGCTGCAACAGCTTTTTTGCACAGAGCAACAGCCCTTTCCACTCGCTTGTCCTTGGATGCTGCACCTGAAATAGAGATTTAAAAATCATGTAAAAATAGAAGCTTGCAGTAATTCATGTTAACCATCATGTTATGAATCATTAATCATCATGTTTTTAAACCATCATGTTATTGATAAAATCATGTTATTTGAATGGCTGTTAATTTAAATTGCAGGCTTATCTTGATACATTTTTTTTTTCATTTAAAAGTTTTATATATATATATATATACACACACACACATATGTATATGTATATATATGTATATGTATATATATGTATATATATATGTGTATATGTATATATATATATGTATATATGTGTATATGTATATATATATATGTATATATGTGTATATATATATATATGTATATATGTGTATATGTATGTGTATATATATGTGTATATGTATATATATATATATGTATATACTGTATGTATATATATTAAGGCTGTCAAAGTTAATGCGTTATTGTCGCGTTAACTCGAGTGACTTTTATCGCCACTAATTTTTTTGACGCACGATTAACGCAAGCCTTAGCCTGGCTTCACCAAACTATACACACACTGCGTGGATATTCTTGCCGTTGTAGAGGAACAGTTGGTGAGGTGTCCAGGCTATTTGAGCCTCGGGGCACTCCGTAGTTTCAGGAAGTAGTGCACTGACTGATACCGCGGCAGACATAAACAAATCCCTGTGAGCAGTAACTAGGATATAATGGATAAGAGCACTATTTTGAACTGAGAGTTCAGCTACAAAGCCTTGCCAGATGGCTCTCTTGACAGGACAAAAGTCATTTGTGTTTCCTGCCGAGCTGAATTTAGTTACCACTGGAGTATGTCCAGTCTCAAATATCACTTGTCGGCCAAGCACACAGCTGATGCAGAGAGCCCCGCGTCCCCCCGCCTCAAGCAAACAACGCTGAATGTGCAAGGTAAACAGATGGAGAGCTCTACTAAACGCAAACTTGAAACGGGTGGCTACCGCTCGTCGGCCGATTAGCATTGTGCAGGACGTTGGTCTGCGAAATCATACAAATCGCATCCACGAAAATCCACGATCTGTTCTCGTGTTGATTCTCATGTTGATAAAAGTATTACAATTTGAAAAAGATCGATTTAGAATGGATCAAAAATATGCGATCAATTTGCGATTAATCATGATTAATTATGATCAAAATTCGATTAATCGCGATTAAATATCTTAATCGATTGACAGCCCTAATATATATGTATATATATATGTATATATGTGTATATGTTTATATATACGTATATATATATATGTGTGTATATGTATGTATATATATAAATATTTATGTGTGTGTGTGTGTGTGTGTGTGTGTGTGTGTGTGTGTGTGTGTGTGTGTGTGTCTATATATACACACACATATATCTACAAGCTTTCACTGAACCCATCAACTTCACTGGGTGGAAAAGACAATTGTTCAAGAACAGTGGTGCGTGTACTTGGCGGCCAATGGATTTTCTTCTTATTCTTAAATCAAAGATCAAAATTTGTGTGTGGAAATCATTCACATGTTTGTTGTGAACCCGAAGTTTTGACTTGGAGCGAGAGGCTCTTGTTAGCACAGTAGTGCCCTCAGGAACAAGATGTAAGAAGGAATAAGAAATATTCCTACATTAGAAAATTGCCCATTATATATTTAAAAAAAAAATTCTTGAATGAAAATGTGTTTATTGAATAAATTTGGTAAAAATCTGCCAAAATTCTAACACACCTTCCACAGTATTGCAGCTGTATGCCTGCTTCTGATCACTCTGCTTCTGCAGTTCATGAACAGCTGTGTGTATTTTACCTGGAGCTGACACTCAAACCCGGACACAGTGATGTAGGACACTGAGGCTCTTACTCAGCTCTACATCTGCTTTTAAGTTTATAAGATCATGTCCAATCTCTGTTAGCGAGTTACAACCAACCTTGTTAGAAGATGAGCCTCAGCCTTCCCGTCTAAAGCAACGGCACTAACAAACCAGCTAAAAGCTAGTATATGTCATATAAAGCCTGTTCTTTATATATGATAGCACTGTTCTGTTTAAGGTGACAGGTAATGTTCCCACATTGTTTTCATCCTTGATGGCTTTAATAATTGTGATTAGCGTAGATTACGGCTGGGTATTGTTAAGAATCTCATGATTTGTTTCGATTTTTATTTCGATTCGTAAGGTAACGATTCAATGTCGATGTCGATTTGATTCTGATTATAATTCTTCAATATCGATTCAGCATCAAGTAGAAATACACAAGTAAGAGTACCAGATTATTTAAAATATATATATATTTAGTTTCATACCTTATAAACAGTCATGACACTGCTTTAACACTGAGCTACAGTGCATGTAAATTTAAATTATGTGTTTCTTTCCTCTTGGAAATTGTAAAATAACTCATAACATTTTGAGTAATAAAGCATCAGGTCAATAATACTAGTACAAAAGTAAAAAAAATGACAGTGCTGTATTAACACTAAACAAAAGTGCATGCAACTTAAATTATGTAATTCTTTTCGCTTGGAAACTATGAAGAAATAACTCAGCATTTTGGGCAAAAAAACAAATGTCTGAAAATATATCAGCACAATAATACCAGTATGGTATACAAAAGTAAAATAACACAAAACAATAAAAAAGAACCAGAACAATTTCTGGTTATAAACTACATGTGCACGAATTAACCGTGAGCACTCTAAGACCAGTATTCTGGTCTGGTCTTTCTTCTGAGCTCACATAACACATTAGAACCAGATGCCTTCTGGTTACAAACTTGATGTGCAGGTTTTCGTGATGTAAGAAAATGATGGCAAGATAAATATTTTTACAACTTTTTCCGCCTTTGATGTGACCTATAACCTGTACAATGCAATTGAAAAATAAACTGAAACCTTTAAGGAGAAAAATATAAAAGTTAAAATAACTTTTATAAAAGTTAAAATAATATTTTCCCACATGCGTTTGGGAGATTTCAGATGTCTTTTTGCAAAATTAAGCCGGGCTTTGATGTTTTTCTGTAAGATAAGGCTTCCATCTTGCTTCCCTACCCCATAGCCCAGACATATGATGACAGCGGGAGATTGTTGTCACATGTTCTACACAGCCAGTACTTGCCAGAAATTCCTGCAGCTCTTTCAGTGTTGCTGTCGTCCTCTTGGTAGCCTCCCTGCCCAGTTTTTTTCTTGTCTTATCATCAATTTTGGACGGATGTCCTGTTCTTGATAATGTCATCGTTGTGCCATATTTTCTCCACTTGATGATGACGGTCTTCACTCTGTTCCATGGTATATTTAATTCTTTGGAAATTCTTTTATAGCCCTCACCTGACTGATATCTTTGAATAATGAAATCCCTCTGATGCTTTGGAAGCTCTCTGCGGACCATGGTTTTTCTGGAAGATGTGGCTACAAAAATGTCAGAAAAAGCGTACTAGAACAGCAGAACTTTATTTTGGGTTGATCAAAGGCACTTTAATTGGTGACAGGTGTGTGCTGACTCCAATTTAACCTGAGTTTGAATGTTATTGGTGAAATCTGAACACAGCCACATCCCCAGTTGTTAAAGGGTGTGCACACTTATGCAACCACATGATCCAGTTGTTTATTTTTACTTCACCTCCTTGAAAGTTTTCAGTTTGTTTTTCAAATGTGTTGTAAAGGTTATAGGTCACATGAAAGGTGGAAGAAGTTGTGAAATTATTTATCTTGGTTAAATTTTTTTACATGACAAAAACCTGGCAGTTGAACAGGGGTGTGTAGACTTTTTATATTCACTGTATTTTGATCTTTGATTTCCGTTTAAAGCCACATCACAGAAGTCAAATACTTTTTTGATTTTTATGATCAAAACTGTCGTTATCCATTTATCCCATTTTCACTTGATCTGAAGAGAACTGAAATTGGAAAATGAGCCGTTATATGTTTTTTTTTTTTTCATTTTCGTGTTGGAGACAAATATTTAGAAAACAAATTGTTTTTGCATTTTCTCATTTTTGGAGTCATTTCGAAAATTGAATGAACAGTGTCGATTCTTTTTCTGGTAGATAGTTACCGTCACTTATTCCTCAATGTGTGCTTGTTGTCTTATCTGCTTTAGGTTGTGGCCAAGTGCCTGTCAGACGGTGCAGATGAATACCTGCAGATGTTGAGTCTATTCTCAGTTATCATGCAGGAGACTTCACAGAACAACTAAAAAGTTCCTATCCTGGCAAACAAACATCACCTCTAGTGGGACCAACAGCCTCTCTGAGACATCAGCACTCCTCTCAGATCCAGCAGGGTTTGTTCACAGTTGTTTGAGAGATCCATCTGTGAATTTTCGATGGCAGCACTGTTAACTGTCAGAAACAAGATTTTTGTTTTCTCTCAGTATTTCTTCAGCCCAGAAGAAGCATTGTTATGCTATGTGAACATGCTATCAAAGTCTCTGCAGCTGTTATAAATCAATCAGATGCCTCTGTGTTTCTTGTCATTGACATAACAACTAATGAACAGGTCTTTGTACATTTTCACTTTTTGGGAAGTGATAGTTTTCAAAAATTGTTTGATTGAAGTAATTTTCTATTGAGCTTTTTATCACCAGACTATGCGACTTTGTGTGTTGTTGGATCTTTTGGCAACTACCAGCAAACCAAATAATAAACTTGGCCCTGCAGGCTACCTCCCTATGCCACAAGAGGCCCAAAGATGCTTATTATTATCAACACAGTTTTACATAGACAGGACTCTTATCAGCCTGACAATGTTGAATGTAAATCACATGCACAACAAGACTTCTCAACTAGACATGACCTCTTCCTGTGTTTTGACATTACTACATTTAAACAATCCAACATTTTTCCCTAAAAGAAAAAACTACTCTCAATTTGCCTATATGGGAATGTTCTCCAGTGGTATAACTGACAGTACACTATATCTTACAAATGGTTAACTTTCCACCAAAAGATTACTGTATGCCCTACCTGTATGCCTGATTCCTGATAGCTACATAAGGAACATATATCACATCATCTTGGTGAGTCTGCAGGAAGACTGCAGAAACATTTAAATGAGGTTACTGTCCTCCAAGTCCGTTCGATCATGCCGTCGTCAGAGATGTGTCTAGTCCTTTAAGCTAATACTAGTTTTTAGTTCTCATGGTACTGCTTATGCTTTAAGTCTGCAATATAAATTATTGGCAAAAACTCTTCCTAAAGATGTATCGTAGCTTTATAACAGCAGTTTTAAACCCTATCTGTAAATGTATGGTTGATCAAAACCGTTACATTAAAAAAGGACTAAATAAAGACACGCTGCACCGCGAACACAGGTTTCCATGACGACGCGGAGGAGGGATGGTGTTACACCCACCGGAAACTGTCTCTGCAGTGCCAGCAGAAAATGGAAAGGAAGCACAGTTCATATCTTAATATTAAGTTTATATGTAGTATTGGATACTGCTCATGTTTGCACTGAATGAATAAATCGTTTGGAACCAGAGTGAGGACACTCGGTGGCATGACCGGAATCCTGTGCACTCTGTTCGATGAAGTAGTTCACCGACTGTTTTGGAAACATCGCACTGGCCGAGAGTAGACTGTGTGGGAGAAGACAGCGGTCCTGCCCCCTTCAATGACCAACCTGCAGTGCTAGCGATAAAAGCCTCGCTTGCAATGCCGCAACCATGGGAGGCTACCACGGGTGTCCGTAATGGAGATGCTACCAAGCTCTTGGCCTCTAATATAACGATTCCAATATGCCCGACCGGTGGTGCTCCGTAAGGCTATCAGCTGCCTGATATTACGGTACAGGCCTGCTTTTTCCATCTGGAAATTTCTTGGCAGGCCAGCTAGCACCGATAGCGTTAGCCTTATCTGTTCTGCATCTCTGGGCTCTAACGGTGCAGGGTTTTCCATGACTGCACAGTTGACATTGTTTCATGTCAATTCGAGGACACTTTAACTCCTAAAAGTATTATATGGGATTTATATCCGTGAAAGAAAAGAAGGCCTAAGCCAAAATGGTGAACTGGAGGCGGCTGCTGCGAGTATCCAACCGATCGTTCCTGGCCTTCATATTCTTCTTCTCCATGTCCACCACTTGTCTCTACTTCATCTATGTGGCCCCTGGAATAGGTTCGTTAACAGATTTACTACAAACACCTTACACAGCAGCAGTTAACGTGATTGTATTAGGATTATCGCCTGCAGCTCAATAAGCTCCAGCTGCTGCTTCCACGGTACACGCTAATGCTACAACGATTAGCAAAGTAGCTCACAGCTGAAAGATCCATGCCAGGCATGATGTCCAGTAAGCCCTCGTATTTCTCTGATGTTATAGGGCGAAACCCTATTCGGCGACAGGTAGACGGATTATTGGAAGATTAGAAACAAGGTGATCCCTATGTGTTTAAGATATAAAGGTTGATTATTAGCTTTCATTTTTCTGTAGACTGACATGAATCAACTGTGAGCATCAGCGCTCGTTAATTTCAGGGATTCCTCACCTCTACGGAGAGGTTGAATTGGTATGTTACTCGGAATAGAAAACGATATTTTGAATGAAGAGTTTGCCGGAATATACCAGCGCTTAGATCCCAATATTCCGAGATTTATTGGCCTTATTTATAAGAAATTAACAGTATTGCCATGCTGGTAACAATGTCTGCCTCTCAAACGGTTTAAAGGCAAAATGTTGTCAATTCTTCTTTGTCATTCAGAAATTAATGTCATTCAACTTAATGATTTGGAATTTATGCTATGGAAGTTGACCAGATCCTTTCCTCATACACAATATAACAGAGTGATTTTGAGTAATTAGCTCTGGAAGTGGTCATTTGCCTTTCAAGAAAACCTAATTCAAGTGTGGATTCTTGTGGCCAGAAGTTCAGTCTCTCCGGGGGAAGATTGCTTTAAATGGTGTGAAATTTTAAAGGGTAATTTCTCAGACAATTACATTCTTTAAGAAATGTCTTTGTGCCGACAGGAATTGTAAGCTCTTCGTGCAGGCCTTTACCCACAAACATTGCCATTCATGCTGGGGAGGAATGGCAGGTCAGGGAAAATTCACTAAAGACTCATGATAGCCTGAGGTCTAGCAACATTATTGTAGATGGAAAGTGATAAAATTCCCAAAGGTGGTGGCTTAGTGTGCTTGTCAAAACTGTATAAGATGGTGTAGGGCATGCACTTTTCTTAATTTGGATACATAAAACTATATATGAGCTTGATTGTTGAATATGATATGTAAACATGAATATATATGTGTATATATATGTATGTATATATATATATGTATGTATGTATATGTATATACACTCACCGGCCACTTTATTAGGTACACCATGCTAGTAACGGGTTGGACCCCCTTTTGCCTTCAGAACTGCCTCAATTCTTCGTGGCATAGATTCAACAAGGTGCTGGAAGCATTCCTCAGAGAGCTTGGTCCATATTGACATGATGGCATCACACAGTTGCCGCAGATTTGTCGGCTGCACATCCATGATGCGAATCTCCCGTTCCACCACATCCCAAAGACGCTCTATTGGATTGAGATCTGGTGACTGTGGAGGCCATTTGAGTACAGTGAACTCATTGTCATGTTCAAGAAACCAGTCTGAGATGATTCCAGCTTTATGACATGGCGCATTATCCTGCTGAAAGTAGCCATCAGAAGTTGGGTACATTGTGGTCATAAAGGGATGGACATGGTCAGCAACAATACTCAGGTAGGCTGTGGCGTTGCAACGATGCTCAATTGGTACCAAGGGGCCCAAAGAGTGCCAAGAAAATATTCCCCACACCATGACACCACCACCACCAGCCTGAACCGTTGATACAAGGCAGGATGGATCCATGCTTTCATGTTGTTGACGCCAAATTCTGACCCTACCATCCGAATGTCGCAGCAGAAATCGAGACTCATCAGACCAGGCAACGTTTTTCCAATCTTCTATTGTCCAATTTCGATGAGCTTGTGCAAATTGTAGCCTCAGTTTCCTGTTCTTAGCTGAAAGGAGTGGCACCCGGTGTGGTCTTCTGCTGCTGTAGCCCATCTGCCTCAAAGTTCGACGTACTGTGCGTTCAGAGATGCTCTTCTGCCTACCTTGGTTGTAACGGGTGGTTATTTGAGTCACTGTTGCCTTTCTATCAGCTCGAACCAGTCTGGCCATTCTCCTCTGACCTCTGGCATCAACAAGGCATTTCCGCCCACAGAACTGCCGCTCACTGGATATTTTTTTTCTTTTTCGGACCATTCTCTGTAAACCCTAGAGATGGTTGTGCGTGAAAATCCCAGTAGATCAGCAGTTTCTGAAATACTCAGACCAGCCCTTCTGGCACCAACAACCATGCCACATTCAAAGTCACTCAAATCACCTTTCTTCCCCATACTGATGCTCGGTTTGAACTGCAGGAGATTGTCTTGACCATGTCTACATGCCTAAATGCACTAAGTTGCCGCCATGTGATTGGCTGATTAGAAATTAAGTGTTAACGAGCAGTTGGACAGGTGTACCTAATAAAGTGGCCGGTGAGTGTATGTAGTGTATATATATATATATATATATATATATATGTATATATGTATGTATATATATGTAGTATGTGTATATATATGTGTATATATATATGTAGTGTGTATATATATACACTCACCGGCCACTTTATTAGGTACACCATGCTAGTAACGGGTTGGACCCCCTTTTGCCTTCAGAACTGCCTCAATTCTTCGTGGCATAGATTCAACAAGGTGCTGGAAGCATTCCTCAGAGAGCTTGGTCCATATTGACATGATGGCATCACACAGTTGCCGCAGATTTGTCGGCTGCACATCCATGATGCGAATCTCCCATTCCACCACATCCCAAAGATGCTCTATTGGATTGAGATCTGGTGACTGTGGAGGCCATTTGAGTACAGTGAACTCATTGTCATGTTCAAGAAACCAGTCTGAGATGATTCCAGCTTTATGACATGGCGCATTATCCTGCTGAAAGTAGCCATCAGAAGTTGGGTACATTGTGGTCATAAAGGGATGGACATGGTCAGCAACAATACTCAGGTAGGCTGTGGCGTTGCAACGATGCTCAATTGGTACCAAGGGGCCCAAAGAGTGCCAAGAAAATATTCCCCACACCATGACACCACCACCACCAGCCTGAACCGTTGATACAAGGCAGGATGGATCCATGCTTTCATGTTGTTGACGCCAAATTCTGACCCTACCATCCGAATGTCGCAGCAGAAATCGAGACTCATCAGACCAGGCAACGTTTTTCCAATCTTCTATTGTCCAATTTCGATGAGCTTGTGCAAATTGTAGCCTCAGTTTCCTGTTCTTAGCTGAAAGGAGTGGCACCCGGTGTGGTCTTCTGCTGCTGTAGCCCATCTGCCTCAAAGTTCGACGTACTGTGTGTTCAGAGATACTCTTCTGCCTACCTTGGTTGTAACGGGTGGTTATTTGAGTCACTGTTGCCTTTCTATCAGCTCGAACCAGTCTGGCCATTCTCCTCTGACCTCTGGCATCAACAAGGCATTTCCGCCCACAGAACTGCCGCTCACTGGATATTTTTTCTTTTTCGGACCATTCTCTGTAAACCCTAGAGATGGTTGTGCGTGAAAATCCCAGTAGATCAGCAGTTTCTGAAATACTCAGACCAGCCCTTCTGGCACCAACAACCATGCCACGTTCAAAGTCACTCAAATCACCTTTCTTCCCCATACTGATGCTCGGTTTGAACTGCAGGAGATTGTCTTGACCATGTCTACATGCCTAAATGCACTAAGTTGCCGCCATGTGATTGGCTGATTAGAAATTAAGTGTTAACGAGCAGTTGGACAGGTGTACCTAATAAAGTGGCCGGTGAGTGTATGTATGTAATATATATATATATATATATATGTATATATATATGTATATGTATGTATGTGTATATATATATGTATGTATATATGTAATATATATGTATGTATATATGTAATATATATATGTAATATATATATATGTATGTATATAGGCCTGTCGCGATAATCAATAAATCGCCTTATCGCTCGGTAAATAAAAACGAGGTCGGTCATTTTGCCAGCCTCGATAATTGGCGTGCGTCTGTTTTCCTCCTCTCTCGCTACCAAACACGCTGGATGAGAGAAGAGGTCTCACTCTGCGCATTTTTCTCGGCACCTGGGGGCGTTGGCTCTATAGCGGAATGAACGGAGTTAGTGAACCCTCCTGTCAGTGTCTTTGTCACGAGGGGGCTGGCGCGCACAGGCACACAGACACAGACTTTTGGATACAGTGCTGCAAGTGCGCGTTGTGAGTGAAAAGCAAGCAAACAGAATGAACACGACAGCTTTGGTGTCTAAACCGAACGCAACAGGCCAGGTGTGGGAATATTTCGGCTTTTAACCAGTTTTGTTTTCGTCAACCACAAAACTCCATGTGTGTGTGTGCGCGCGCGCGCGCGCGTGTGTGTGTCTGTGTGTTGGAGGAGCACAGCAGGCTGCAGAGCGGACTGAAGCTGCTCCTTTATGTTTAGCGTTTAACTGACTGAGTTTTGCAACTCTGTTCGTCATTTTCGTCTCGTCCCATCAACGTAAACGCACTTTCGTCTCGTCACATTTTAGTCATCTCCGACTTATGTTTAGCTCGTCAACGTTACGTCTTCGTCGTGGGTGAAATTAAAGTTTATCACTTTTGACACGGTATACTCGCATTATTATGCCATATAATATCATTATCTATAATTTAAAAAACGGTGTCAATAATATCGTTTATCGGCAATAATTTGTAGCACAATTATCGTCCAGCAAAATTTGTTATCGTGACAGGCCTATATGTATATATATTCTTTCTGCACATGTAAGTTGCAGAATTGTAGAATTGTTTTGTGCTAAAACCACGGTCACAGAAGTAAGTAAAAAGTAATCAGCAATTCAAAAACTGATTTCATACAAAGGCCAACTTCTGCATTACATGCTTTCATGCACTGCTAGTTGGGTATGTAAATACACAAAACCCTTGAAAATTCAGGACAAGTGTAGAATGTTTTTTGAAATTGCCCTGGAAACAAGGCAGCTCTAACAGCCAACAAGGTAGATATGTGTTGTTTAGCATCACCAGTCACCAATACATTGCTCTTTGTTTTGGAATTGCAGGTAGTTCATGGCTCTTCTAGCTTTTTAGGGTGACATGCAAATCACGACAGCGAAGGGGAAAAATTATTATTTTTAAAATTATTTTCCAAAAGTTGTGGTCTGCATTTACTGATGATTGTTTTTGGTACATTCAGCATTAAGCCGGGGAATAAATGCACTGCTTGTTTTCTATCACTATTGTGGGGTGCTCAAGATGGAACATTTATGATAATTTCTTCATGGAAATGCAATCACACCGAGACGCTAAGGGAGTAGAACTACTGTGTCACTGGTGAAAAATGATTAATATGATGATTATTACTTCAAGGAAATGATAAGTAATGATCATAAATGTTCTTCCTTGAGCTGCGTCCCCCTGCCTCAGGCGATGATGGACAAACAAGCGGCGGCTAGAAGAGAGTAGGTGAGTTGTGTTTAGTCTCTTTGCTAAAGATATTAGGCAAAGCTAAAAAGATGTTTGGTGGCTAGTACTATGGCTGGGACCCTATATGTACTGTTGATGATGTTAGGTGCTGTTCTGAGCATTATTTATGGCTATAAAGTGGCATTTTGGATGAAGTTTGTATATGGCTTCTCAGACAAATGTGTATTGCTATCCTGCGGTCGTTACTAAAGTTGGTATAACCAGAGCAGCAAGCGGTCTGCAACATTCATCTCTCGAGAGGGTGCCTAACTCAGTGTTACGGTGTGTTTGACCCTTAATTAATTTTATGCCGGAATATCCCTTTAACTCGTGCTGTCATTGTTAGCTGTCCAACAGGAAGAATGGCATTAAGGTAACAGAATATGACAAACAAAATACAGTATATTATTGAGCAATTTAAATTAGGCAATGCTCAGAAATTTTGCATTACTGTCTGTAAACCTGCAAGCAAATCCTTTTAAATCCTGCGTGTCAGTCATACCATTAGAGAAAACCCACCAACAGACCAGCTTAATATCGCTGTGAGAAGTTGTATATTATTTTATCTTTACAATATATAGTTGGTATGATGGAGTATTAGAGCCACATTAAGAAAAAAAGAATTTAAGACTGAGATTAAAGTTGTTAACTCATGAGAATGAAGTAATTTCTTACCTCTTGTTTTAGAGGAGCGTTGTTAAAATGAGGGCTTATGGAGCATTTACATGAATTGTAGCCTACTTCAGTGTAAGTTTCACAAACAAGGAGATACTTAATTCTTTGGTACATCTGTATTACACTGTCATAAATATCAGGACTTAAAAAAGAATATTCAAGAAATGCATCTTTTCAGCAGAAAAAAAAAAGAAACAGGCAGTCTTGGAGGAAATTGCTGCTTTTGTGGAGGCGGAAATGGATATGCAGAGGATAAATCAGTCAATGCAGCCGTAGATAGCCGATAATTGCATTGGGCTTTAGTTTATCATATTCATCCATATGCCATAAGGCGTTGGTGTCTCTGCAGGTGTCAGAGACGAAGTGCTTGTCGGAGCTCAACTCCCTCTGGACCACAATCTGTCAATTATCAGTTGGATTGTTTCTTGAAAAACCACACAAAAGTCCTATGAATGGCCCACTGATACATCCACTGATAACCCTGCAGTTGACCAGTTCCAGCCATTTCGTCCTCCACAAAAGCAGCTTTATGACTTAATTTACTCCATGACTTTATTCTCTGTAGTTCAACTTATGACAACTTATGAAAGTCATTCATTTACGAAAATAAAGTCTTGGACTATCTTTGTGAAGTATACAACCAATTTTTTGGGGAAGTTATCTGTTTTCTTGAAGACTCCAAAATCAGGTTGGACAGCTTTTTCGAAATTTAATTTGATGTCAAACTATTTTCCCCTTATTTCTGCAGCCATCCAGCTCTATAATCGTAGAGCATCAGCAGATTATTAATGTTTTTTGGTTTTATTTTTTCATGTTTGAATTTGCACATGTAGGTAGGTAAAGTTGACTTGGATGACACATTCAAACAAACCAAAGAAAAAGCCACTGTAGATAGAAAAATAAAAATACACTCAGAAAAGAAGTTAAACACCATGCGAATGCACATTCCAGTCTGTATACACCAAATAGACCAAATAAAAGCTGATTTATGCTTGCCATATGTATGAAAATGTAAAGGTCCGTTTCAAAGGATGATTTCGTCACTGCCCACTTACTACCATGCATCCTATATGTTGGCATGGATGCACCAGGATGCATTCCATCCACCAGGGGGCAGGCTGGAGTAAAAAGTTTCTGACAACAACTTGTATATGGAAACATGGCGGCTGCGAGGAAGCTGGTGATTAGGACCAGGTGATTTGCCAAAAAAAAGATTGTGATATATTTTGACAATCATGTGGTCGCAGTTATTGTCACAATTTTTTGTTAGTTTTTGAACTGCCAGTTTTAAAGCATCTGTAAGACTGGCAGTTAACATACAAATAACAATAAATAATAACAAAGCAATTTAAACAAGATAAACATAGAAAAATATAAAATCCATTTTACTCAACAATACAACAAATGTAGATAAGTACTAAATAATACAGTAGCGCATCGTCGAACGGCGCATTTGAAGCGTGCATGATGTCATCACGCAGCGAGAACGGTGTCCCATATGGCACGAAATGTTAAGCGCGCTTAGCATTTTTCAAGCGTGGATTTATGCACGCTTTCGTGCCGTTGGTATCCCAGAATTCTTTGCGTGCCGCTGCACAGCTGCGCAATTCGGGTGAGAGGCTGGACTTGCTTGGAGACGCAGCGCGTCTTTAAAGAAAATAAAAGAAATCCAAAAACAGCAGACAGTCAACTCAGGCTGTTTGAGAGCATGATCTCTGAACTCACTAAAATCTGTAAACCAAACATTATAGTATTTAGAGACGAATTGATCCGCTCTGCTTCAACTATCAAAAACATTAGAAATAAGAAAGCTGACAAAACTACAGCAAAGTATCATTGACACATTGAGTTTTTTTTTTTTTTTAAGACTTAGAGATTAAAGTTGTAAATTTAGGAGAATAAAGTCATAAAGTAAATAAAGTCATAAAGCTCCTTTTGTGGAGGGGGAAATGACTGAAGCTGGTCATCTGCAGGGTTATCGGTGGATGTATCAGTAGGTCATTCAGAGAGTTTGTGGTTTCTGAAGAAACAATCCAACTGATAGTCAACATTTGTGATCCAGAGGGAGTGGAGCTCCAACGAGCACCACGTCTCTGAAACCGAAGGTAACCTACACCTGCAGAGACACCAACGCCATATTATGGCATATGGATTCATATCATAAAAAAAAGCCCAATGTCATTCACAGATATTTACGGCTGCATAAACGAATATATCCTCAGCATATTCATTTCTGCCTCCACAAAAGCAGCGATTTCCTTCAAGTACACCAGTTTTTTTCCCCGTGGAAAAGACGTATTTCTCATATATTCTTTTTTAAGTCTTTATACTTGTGACAATGTAATGCTGATGTGCCAGAGGATGAAGTATCTCCTTGTTTGTGAAACCTATACTGAAGCACAGTTCCTAAATGCTTCATGGCCCTAATTTTAACAAGTCTCCTCTGAAATAACAGGGAACCTTACGACTTTATTCTCATAAATTAATGACTTTATTCGCATAAATTCATGACTCGAAGTCTTTAAAAAAATTCTCAATATGGCCCTCATACTCCATACATGATTCGATGAAAGGACTAGATGGTACAATCCCCGGGACTATGCATGGCAGGGGCGTCCTCCTCCCTGAGCCAGGCTTGCACCTGACTGCATACCTGAGTGGAAGGGGAGTTGATGCTTTACAGCCATACTTATCCCCTGGGACACATCATCAGTTGTGTCCTCAGATCATGGGGCGTTTCGGCCAATTATCACAAGACGCCCTCAGCTGAGGCAGGCCCACCACAGGTTGATCAGACCTGGGTGTGTGTCCCAGGGTTAAGCATTTGGCTTAGCAGCCCAGATGGTGTCGCTCCTCTTCATCCACAGCCAATGGCTCGTTCTCTCGGCAGTGTTGGCCAGCTCTTTGATGGCCTGTCTGTGAGCTTGTCCCCTGATTCCGACCTCCCTAAGGAGCTTCGCTGTCGAGCCTGCCACAAAACCCCTACAACCCACCTCCACCGGGCGCACCCACGCCTTCCAGCCCCTATCCTCTGCCTCAGCCGCTAGGTTGGAGTAGCGAAGTTTCTTGCGTTCATACGCTTCTTCGACAGCATCCTCCCAAGGAACTGTCAGCTCTATGATGTAGACGAGCTTGCGGGTGTTAGACCATAGGACAAGGTCTGGACGTAGGGTGGTCGTTGCGATCTCCGGGGGGAAAACGAGCCTCCGATCCAAGTCAGCCTGCATTTGCCAGTCTCTGGCTGCATTCAGCGGGCCCAGGTCAGAGTGTGAAGCCCTTGCTCTCTGCTTTTCCCCCTCCCGAACAAACAATGGTGGGTGTTGCCGCACATCCTGGTTGTTGGTGGGTAGGGCGTTGATGGAAACCCTCTTGCACTCAAGTTTGTCAGCCAGACACCTGAGGACCTGGTTGTGTCTCCATGTATATCTGCCTTGAGTGAGGCTGGTTTTACAGCCCACCATGATGTGCTTAAGTGTTGCTGGGGTTGTACACAAGGGGCACGCTGGGTCCTTTCCAAACCATTGTTGCAGGTTTATGGGAGATGGTAGCACATCGTATGTTGCTCGAATGATGAAGCTCAACCGGTTGGATTCCATGCCCCAGAGTTTGCTCCATGTGAGCTTCTTCTTTTCGACACCCTCCCACCTCATCCAGCGGCCCTGTTTGGCTTGTGCTACTGCTTTGGATCGTCTGGTTGCTTCCTCCTGTCGGCGCACCTCCTCTACGACCATGGTTCGTCACTCGGCGGTAGATGCCTTTCGCCAGAGAGGAGTTACAGCTCCAAGGCCAAAACCTGCTCTGCCTTGCTGGACATGGCCCACTACATCACGGTGGAGGAGAGCAGATTTGGCCTGTAGGACAGCTGTGGCTGGGGTCCACTTCCTCCCTGTTGCCAAGGTGGGAGGGGCACCTCTCACTACAGGGTCCCGGGAATCAGTGAGGGACATCTCCAGCCTCACCTTCGCACACTTGAACTCTTCAACCACGCTGGAGATGGGCAGTGACAAGGCTCCGTCGCTGTAGAGTCCAACGCTGCTGAAGCACCTTGGGAGTCCGAGCCACTTCCTCACATGGGAGTTCACCAGCCTTTCCAAGCGATTAGCATGGCGTATAGAGACCTCATACATGGTCAGCGGCCATTGAAGTCTGGGTAACAGCCCAAACTGGAGGCACCAGAGCTTCAGTTTCCCTGGTAGTGCAGTGTTGTTGATCTGCCTAAGGCCGTTGGCTGTGTCCTGCCGCAGCTGTTCAATTTGCTGGGTGTCTCTGAGGTCTGCATTATACCATCGTCCAAGGCTCTTGATGGGCTTCTCTAGGAGTGTTGGAATTGGTTCACCGCTGATGTGGAACCGCTCACCTGTCAGTTGGCCTTTAACGATGGAAATGCTGACTTGCTTGGTTTGAAATCCATTCGCGCCCACTGAATGTTTTCCTGGAGTTTCTGCAGCAAGCGTCTCGTACATGGTTTTGTTGTTGTTACGACGGTCATATCGTCCATATAGGCTCTAATAGGCGGAAGACGCAGGCCACTCTTGGTCCTCTCACCTCCCACTACCCAGCGGGATGCCCGTATGACCAACTCCATTGCCATGACGAATGCCAGAGGAGAAATTGTGCAGCCCGCCATGATGCCGATTTCCAGATGCTGCCAGGCGGTGGTGTTGCCCTCAGATGTTACACAAAACTGGAGATCTTGGAAGTAGCTCTTGACCAATTCTGTGATGTGGCCTGCTACGCCAAAGAAATTGAAGGCCATCCACAAGGTCTTGTGAGGGACTGACCCAAAACAATCATTGGATGAATTTTGTGGGAATGATCTGTGCTTGTATGTATCTACTATTTTGTGTCTGTGCAAGGTCGCACAATTAAAAAAATAAATGCTGCGCTCTGCAGCTTTTCTTCAAGTCAGTCGTGATGCGAGCCTGAGGGCGGGGACATTTAGCGACTCAACCAGGAAGTCCTCCGAAGGTCGCCAAAGGTCGACTTCGAGTCATGAATTTCTAATGTTTTTGATTGTTGTAGCAGAGCGGATCAGTTCGTCTCTAAATACTATAATGTTTGGTTTGCAGCTAAGTTAAAAGATCATTCGCTCATACAGCCTGAGCTGACTGTCTGCTGTTTTTGGATTTCTTTTATTTTCTTTGAAGACGTGCTGCGTCTCCAAGCGAGTCCAGCCTCTCACCCAAAATGCGCAGCTGTGCAGCAGCACGCAAAGAATTCTGGGATACCAACGGCACGAAAGCGTGCATAAATCCACGCTTGAAAAAGGGGCGGGGGCAGTGTGTTTTTGAGACCGAATTTGAAGCGCGCTTAGCATTTTGTGCCAAATGGGACACTGTTGGTGCCGCCTGATGACCTCACGCACGCTTCAAATGCGCCGTTCGACGATTGCGGTCTCTGAAATGGGACACAGGAAGGGTACTCAATGGCACATAATGGCAGTGTGCTCAGCTAAGCGCGCTTATCCCGATGCGGTCTCTGAAATGAGACACAGCCTGTTTTCTTGTGCAGAGCTCCAGTAGCTCATGAGCACTTAGCCTCTGAGTCGTGGGTGGAGACAGCACTGCTCTGCACACTTCTCTTCACGCTAGCTTGTAGCCTAACATTGCTGGTGTCGTAGCAGAAGCAGGTAACATAGGAGCTATTCAGCTCTCAGTCACTGATGTCTTTTGGGGCATGATGAAAGATAATATTATAATTAGCTTTCTTACCAGCATTGCAATCTGCTCACGCACACGCTTGTTCTGCGATTGTCCTCTATTTCTCCAAGTCTGGCCTTCAGTGCGGGGCTATAGGAAATCTAACTTTATGTGAGTCGGCCATTTGGGTCCAATTACTCAAGTAATCAATACTTGATTACTCAAATATTTGATAGCTGCAGCTCTAGTCCTGAGTGTTTTTGCAGGTATGCAAGACCCAAAATAAACAAATCGCCCCCTCAGCGATAATGAAGACACCTTAAACTGTAAACATTAGATAATGTAAATGTAGACATTATGATTGATTGCTGCTTTGGTCTGGTGCATGCACCGCTTGTAGCTAAACTACTAACGCTACTTGTGCCTTCAGCAATGGCTGGTTCTGCAGTCTATGCATGCATTGTTATCCTTTCTGCATAATCACTTGGGAATATTTCTTCAAATGATTAAACAGATTTGTTGTGTTGCCAGTTTTTGAGGGCACCTACCACTGACATACCTTGCACATCGGCTCAATTGCTTGACCTCACTTTGGAGATACCCAAACTACCGCCACACAACCAACGTTAAGGAACTTTTCTTCTCAACAATGGCACCTTTGGAGGATGACTGACATCTATTTCGCTGCCCTCAGTCATTCTTTTTACTTCCCCTGTTTACTTCTCTGGCAACTTACAGAAGTAAGCAGGAAAAGCTTGACTCTGATTGGCTGTTGTGACGCACATTTACACCATGTTTGATCAAGTAAATATGCTCACAGCTGATCACGGTGATCTAACTGAAATCTATTATGATCATTCATCAAGATCATATAATCGCCCAGTCCTACTAGTGATAATGTATATTTTGCATAGGAGACAGAAACGGAGGCAGCGTTGGAGGAGGCGTTGGTTGGTCAGGCAGGCCACTTAATGCCTCATTTTTGGAGGATGGAGAATTATTTTCTCTAGTTTCTCTTGTCCGATAAGAGAAATTGACAACGATCGTCGTTTTCAGTACTTCAGGATGTCCGCCAGCGCATTCGACAACTTGCTTCACTGGGTGGCCAGCACCACAAGTCAACAACACTGCCCCCATGGTTTCTGGTGGTACTGCTTTATCTGGCTTTTATCCATAAACTTCAAGGATACGTGCAGAAAAGAAATACGGACGAAAAGAATGTGAAGCATGGATGAGGAGCTCCGTCTGTATCCGGATCTGTATGTAATGTTGAGCATAAATGAGCTTTAAGTGGCCATCCTTACAAGTGATTGAACTTCCCTCAGGCATCAAGCCTGATATGCCAACCTGGCAGTTGCCATAAGTCCAGCTTTTGCTGTAACAGATATCAGAGTCTTGTTCTCTAAAGAGAATTGATTGCTAGTTTGTTGCCATTCTACTTTTGGTTTGTGGATTTTTATACATTATGGCATTAAAATGGTTTTCATAGCCGAGTAAATGATGTTTTGTGTGGGTTGAAAATCTCATCCTTGTGTCCTTTTAAAGGAATAATAGTACAGATGATGAATTTGTCACAGGACTATCAAAACACCTATGTTAATCCTGGGTTAGTGATATAATTTTTTACAGAATACACAGGCTTAAGACCAGGTTATGTTGTAGCAAACTGATCTTTTTATATTTCTGCATGAGACTGTTTCTTTCCAAAAGTATTTAGAGCTCCAGCTGTTTTTCTACGTAGTTAAATGGGTCAATGGCATGACGCCTAAATATTCTGTCCGGCTGTATTTTCTTTAAGTTGCAAAAAGGTTTAAATGTAAAAAAATATACTATCTTTGTGTAGTATCGCTCTCATATGTAGTCACTTCAACTTTTCAAAAATCAGGAGTTATTTGTAATTTTTCTGAAATTTTAAGTGTCAAATATCGTGTGGTGTGACTGTCCAGCTGTGACTGCTGTTTTGAAAACAGCTGTTTTCCATCATAGATAAATGCCCTAGATTGGCAGTATTTATTTTTTATATTCAATTGATGATTGATAAACACTAAGTACTTAATTTTAGTATTATTTTTGAATTTTTTTTGTTATTTGATGAGTCATTTTGCTAATATTTTTGAAATGATGGTAAGTCCATCTTTGTACAAAATAAGAAAAAAATGTTAAAAGCATGCCATTTCACTTAGGTATTTATGCAGTTGTTAGCAATTTATTAATTTTTATGTATCTATTTAGCTCATTTTAATTTATTTTACCAGATGCCACTGCCAAGCAAAGTTAAAAGTACTCGCCGTAGGCAGCATGTCAACTCTGACCCCGCAGCATGTTGTTCATGCGAGGACTGGGCAAAGATTGGGCCAAGATTAGGCAAAGTTCAAAAAGGCCTGAGGCCTGTACTTTGAAGCTGGATCTGATCTTAGCGAGATTACGTCTGGAATAACTCCTGGGTTTTCCGTACAATGAAGGTGGATTTCTTTCTATGCAGGTCTGTTGCCCCGGTAACTTGTGCGGAACACCAAACCTGCTCCGGAGCAGGTTACGTTTCAGGATAACATCTCAGCCGGTATAAAAGACTGCTTACTGACCAATCAGATCTCTTGGAAAATGGCTTGCCCACTTGTGCTGGATTCCGTGGACAATGGTGCACAGATAGTGAGAGGAGCGCTTCGCCAAGAGTGCTACATACATGATCGTTCAAATCCGTTTGATTTACCTGATACCGTTCTCTATAAATGTTACAGGTTTTCCTCAGATGGCCTCAATATTCAGGTAGCATGAAGTCGAAGCAATGCACTAATATTTGCCAAGCTCCAAGTTCCAGTTTCATGCAGCATATTAGTCATCATTTGGAATTTATTGAAGCAGATTAGAAAACTCCTCTTAACCCCAAATGTGACTGCAGATAAAATGTGGCCATCAGATGATGGAGAAAAAAGAAAAATGGTCCTCATCAAGGCAGGGTGAGGAAATCACTGTTTACATGTTGACGTACACTCACCGGCCACTTTATTAGGTACACCATGCTAGTAACGGGTTGGACCCCCTTTTGCCTTCAGAACTGCCTCAATTCTTCGTGGCATAGATTCAACAAGGTGTTGGAAGCATTCCTCAGAGAGCTTGGTCCATATTGACATGATGGCATCACACAGTTGCCGCAGATTTGTCGGCTGCACATCCATGATGCGAATCTCCCGTTCCACCACATCCCAAAGATGCTCTATTGGATTGAGATCTGGTGACTGTGGAGGCCATTTGAGTACAGTGAACTCATTGTCATGTTCAAGAAACCAGTCTGAGATGATTCCAGCTTTATGACATGGCGCTTTATCCTGCTGAAAGTAGCCATCAGAAGTTGGGTACATTGTGGTCATAAAGGGATGGACATGGTCAGCAACAATACTCAGGTAGGCTGTGGCGTTGCAACGATGCTCAATTGGTACCAAGGGGCCCAAAGAGTGCCAAGAAAATATTCCCCACACCATGACACCACCACCACCAGCCTGAACCGTTGATACAAGGCAGGATGGATCCATGCTTTCATGTTGTTGACGCCAAATTCTGACCCTACCATCCGAATGTCGCAGCAGAAATCGAGACTCATCAGACCAGGCAACGTTTTTCCAACCTTCTATTGTCCAATTTCGATGAGCTTGTGCAAATTGTAGCCTCAGTTTCCTGTTCTTAGCTGAAAGGAGTGGCACCCGGCGTGGTCTTCTGCTGCTGTAGCCCATCTGCCTCAAAGTTTGACGTACTGTGCGTTCAGAGATGCTCTTCTGCCTACCTTGGTTGTAACGGGTGGTTATTTGAGTCACTGTTTCCTTTCTATCAGCTCGAACCAGTCTGGCCATTCTCCTCTGACCTCTGGCATCAACAAGGCATTTCCGCCCACAGAACTGCCGCTCACTGGATATTTTTTCTTTTTCGGACCATTCTCTGTAAACCCTAGAGATGGTTGTGTGTGAAAATCCCAGTAGATCAGCAGTTTCTGAAATACTCAGACCAGCCCTTCTGGCACCAACAACCATGCCACGTTCAAAGTCACTCAAATCTACTTTCTTCCCCATACTGATGCTCAGTTTGAACTGCAGGAGATTGTCTTGGCCATGTCTACATGCCTAAATGCACTAAGTTGCCGCCATGTGATTGGCTGATTAGAAATTAAGTGTTAACGAGCAGTTGGACAGGTATACCTAATAAAGTGGCCGGTGAGTGTATGTACAAATAAAAATCTTCCAATAAACCGCTAACCACTTTGAGGGATGTTTTTATATTTATTTTTTATTTGCTCCCAACATCCTCTTTTCACTACTGCTGTTGCATCTGAAATAATGAGAACAATGATGATCGTGATCACACACACTGCATGACAACATATTAGGGGTCCATAAATATATGAACGCACAAATGTAATTTACACAATCTATGATTTTTTTTGCCAGCAGTCCCTCCACTTCTAAGCGGCTGCGGCTGTCCTGCTCCTCACTGTTATAATGTTGTGGTACTCCTCGTATTTGCGCAAAGTAATGCTCTGTTCCTCGGCTGTGAAATATGACATGCAGCCTTCTCTGTTGTGGAGATTGGTCCAGTGGAACTGATCCCACCCCCTTTACGTGTGCGCGCAGTGTTGAGAAAATGCAATAATTTTGAGATAAATTATGGTCGCACCACATGACATTTTTTAAGGCCACAGGCAATTCGTCTATATGAAAAAAACACAAAAATTGCCTAATTTAAAAATGTAATGTTAATTTTTGTATACATAACATCATTAGTGTATGATCTGTTGCAAAAGATATTATTATTTTTGGTATTTTAAAATTGGCATGTAAAAAAACCTTATACATCATTGACCCAAATACTACCTAAAACACGTCCTACACCTGCTGTGCATCTCTTTTACAACCTCTTTGACATCAGCTGGTTATTTAAAGTTAACAGTAAAGACAAAAGACATGATCATAGACTTAAGCAGATCCAAACCCTATCCTTAGCCAGTGAACACCTGTGGCGTGGACATTGAAGTGGTGACATCATATAAATACCTTGGTGTACACCTGGATAATTAATTGGACTGATCTAAGAAATTAGACTTAATCTACAGAAAGGGGCAGGGCCACCTCTTTTGCCTGAGAAGACTTGGATCAATAGACATCTTCAGTAAGATGCTGCAGATGTTTTATCAGTCTGTGTTGGCAAGTGTTCTACACTGCAGTCTGCTGGGGAGGAAGTATCAAACACAAAGATGTAAGATGTCTAAACAAACTGATCAAAAAAGCTGGCTCTGTGGCTGGATTCAAGTTGGACTCACTGGAGGATGTGGTGGAGAGGTGTACACTGAGGAAGGTGGAGGCTTTTCTAAAGGACATGTATCACCCACTTCATAACACCTTGATGGACCAAAGGGCCAATGGTGGCGGACAGCTCCTCTCACTTTGCTGCAAGACAGAAAGATTCAGAAGATGTTTTGTACCCACAGCCATCAGACTTTACAACTCTTCTGTAAACCGTAGATAACTTTTTGTGACATGACAAATGAGACTACAGAGAATTGATTTTCCCTTCAGGGATCAATAAAGATCTTATCTAGTTTATAAGTTGTGACAGCTGTTTCCACAATGTAACTCTGCCTTGTTGCTTTAGTTGTGATGATTGAAACACTGTGTCTTAAGTGAATGTAGCTGCAGATTTGGAATTGTAATTGTTGTGTCCCAAACACCAATTTCTATGAGTTTTATCTAGCAGACTAGCTGACACTACATGAAGCATAGGCAAGGTACATGAACTGTATAATCAAACAATTTTCTTCTTCTCTTTCTGCCAGCCAATACCTACTTCTTCATGGTGCAGGCTCAAGGCATCATGTTGAGGGACAATGTGAGGACCATTGGCCAAATGATCCGATTATACACCAATAAGAACAATACCCTCAATGGGACAGGTAAGTGCTACACTTAAACACTTGTTACAGAGTGGATGGTTGCTCTGATTACATATACTGCGAGTGCAGCTCTGTCTAATGATTGAAGACCCTCTGAGGTGATGAACCAGAGCATGTAGATGACGCGTATTTCCATAATAAAACACCATAGTCGTCAATTTTTCCTTTCTTGAATTTACTTGGTTTACTTTTCATAACAAAACGATACCTTTTACAAATAATAATGACGAAATCAAGACCTGATGTAAACATGGTCAAAAACTATTGTGCTCTCAAAAACCCACAGCTGCACTAATTACCCAAGAAAAACCTGCAGGTCTCACATTACATGTCTCCTCCAATAGGAGAGCTGCAGTAGTAATCGGCTTCAATTAAACTTTAAAGTAAAACTATACAACTGTTCAGTCTCTCAGAATTCTAATCAGGATAAATAAAAATTATGATCTGTCAAATTATCAGTAGTGCACAAAAGGCTCTAACATAACCTGCCCCTAATTTATTCGGTTAACTCAATATTAATCACCGAAATATAAGCATAGAGCCAGTTTTATTTATTTTATTTTTTTCTTAATAAAAAATAAGTCTCTCTCCCTTTTTTCTGATATGATTCAAAACAGAAAGGTGTCTTTAGCTAATTTAGTCTCCTGTGATCTTTATGTTGCCTCTTCTAAGAGGGCAAACTTAGTAACAGGTCTCTCTAAGATGCTGGTCTTCATCTGAACACAGACACTGTGGATAATCCCTTTTGAGTCTGGCATTGTCTTGACAATCCTTCCTATCAACCAGGAGCTTCTGAGCATGGAGGGGTCTATGATGAGGATGGCATCTCCCATGTTGAAATTCCTTCTCGTTGTGTTTAATTTCTGCCTTTCTTTTAAAAGAGGCAGACACTCCTTTGTCTGTCTGCACCAAAAAAGTCTACCATATATTGTATTTTTCTCAAGTGGCTACGCACAAAGAGATCGTTCTTTGAGAAAACACCTGGTGGAATATTTTCCTTATTCATAGAATGTAATTTCTGCCTAAGCGTCCTGTCATTTTATGTATGTGACAGAGGATGAGCTTGGTGATCCAATATCCAATATCCTTGTGTAGGATAGCTGGGTGTTTGGCATCCGGTGGCATTGCAGCTCAGCTTAACTGTCCTCCTACTCTGATTACTCTATCTTTTAAATATGGATCCAACTTAAAGATACTTCAAGATATGACTACCTTTCCTCACATGATCATTTCCTTCTTGCAGGGCTTTGAGCTCCTCTGCATATTTTTCTTTCTGACACAGGCGAATTAATTCCAACTCTGCCTTGTCAAGATCTTCTGTTGTGAGCCCTTGTTTTTCAAAGCTTTGTTTGTACTTGAGCACTCTTTGCTGGTGTAGCGACTCTGCTTTAGAAGGGTTGTTTTCACTATTATCAATTTCTTCTTGAAACTTTTCTTTTCTGTCTCATGTTTAGCAGAAAGTCTTTTGGTCGCATCAGCCAGGCTGTTGCTTTTTTTAGTTTGTACCAGCTTGAGAAGTGACGTACAAACAGTCATTTTATCCAGGCTCCCTTCTGCTTGTATGACAGACTTAGGCTTTTGACCTCCGCATTATCTTCTTTAGAGTGAATGGGCTGGTCTGAACATGTTGGCCATTCACTCTCTGGTCTTAACAGGAACTCTGGTCCCTGTATCGAGTTTGCACTCTGCAGCAAGCTCTCAGCGCTTAACCCTCTTGAGGCTTGATCTGCAGGGTTGTTTGCTATACTCACATACCTCCACTGTGATGGCTTTGTAGCTTCTTTAATGAGTGAAAATCTGTTAGCTACGAATATTTTCTACCTTGCAGCATCATTTTCGATATACTTAAGGACTGTGACGCTGTCTGTCCAGAAGATGGATTCATCAAGCTGGAACTGGAGCTCATGCTGAAGCATCTTGTCAACTTTTACAGATATCACGGCTGGCGTCAGTTCCATCCTGGGAATGACGACCGGCTTAAGTGATGTCACTCTTGACTTTCTTATCAGAAAGGAAAGACACTTCTGGTCATTTTTGTTGGTCAGCAGGAGGTATGACACGGTACCATACTGTTGTTGCTGGAATCAGAAAAGTGGTGCAGCTGTCGTGTTTTGATGGCGCCAAATCCTCCAGGCTTGACGCATCTGCTGACTCAAAAGGATGATAACTTTTCTAAGTTTGCCAACCACCTCTTCTATCTTTTTGTCTGCTCTTCAGACACTTCATCATCCCATGCTCTTTTTTTCTTTACAGAGTTCCTTCAGGAGAAGCATGGCTGGTAAGATAAAAGGAATCCAAGAGGGTCACAAGCTGAACTTACAACAGACAAGATTCCTCTTCTAGTACTTTTTTTTTTGTACTTTTATCTTGAATTGAAACGTGTCAGAGTTTGTGCACCATTGGACACCTGTGGGTAACTAGTCATTATTGAGGTCAAGATCTTTTATTCCTGGCACCCTGTCCTCTTCTGAGATTGACATGAGCAGTGCTCTGCAGTTGCTTGTCGACTTGCTCAGGTGAAATCCTCCACTGAGGGAGAGTGCCCTCAAGTCTTTAGCAAGTGCAATGGCGTGCTCATCTGATGACCCTGAACTCAGGCAATGGACGTAGAAATTGTTTAAGACTGTCTCAGTTGCTTCATGTGAGGCCCACTCTCTTTCATCGTCAGTTGTCCTTCTTAGTGCATATGAGGCACAGCTTGGAAAGGATGTTGCACCAAACAGGTGCACACACATTCTGTAGTCTGTTGGCTCTGAACTCAAGTCACCATCTGGCCACCATAAGAACTGCAGCAAGTCCATGTCCTCTTCAGGCACTTTTACTTGATAAAACATGGAGTCAATGTCTGCCATCATGCCCACTTTTTCCATCCTGAACCTTGTCAGAACTCAGATAAGACTGTTCGGGAGGTCAGGCCCTTAGAGGAGTTTGCTGTTCACTGATAATCCCTGGTATGATGCAGTACAATCGGAAACAACTCTTAATTTTTTCTTTTTAGGGTGGAATACTCCGTGATGAGGAATAAACCATACTCTACCATCACTGCAGTCTAGTTCCTCTTCTGGTACCCTGGTGGCATACCCTTTGGTCAGCAGCTCTCTCATAAACCTGTCATACTCCTCGTGAAAGTGAGAGTCCCTGTGAAACTTCCTCTTGAGGCTTGTAAGATGCTGCTCAGCTAGAGATCTGTTGTTAGGCATTCTTTTTTCTTTGTCTTTCAACGGCAGTCCGATGCAGTAATGACCATCAACTACCTGTGTTGATCTTTGCACTGAGTGGAGAAACTGATGGTCTTCTTGTGACATCTCAGACCGGTCATCGAATCCTCTCTCTGGAAAGTCTGCATTGTACAACTGAGTCAACAGATTTTCCACACTGGACACAGAGACATGGTTGACAGAGTGACTCATGATGTCTTGGTTAACCATAGTAGAGCCTCTGAGTGGGCCATTGATAACCCATCCAAGAGATGTCCTTATTGCATATGGCCCATTGCCTTTACTGTTTATTATCTGCTGAGGTTCCATGGCCTTATAGACGTCAGTTCCTATGAGCAAGCCAACTTCTGCTTCAATGTGCAAGATGCAAACTGTCTGCAGGTAGGGCCACTAGTCTACATCTCTCTGCAGAGGTATGTTGTTCTTTTTCACTGGTAAACCTGTGGAAGGTCAGTGTAGTTCTGTTCTTCCAAGCCACACACTTCCAGGTCTGACAGGACATGAGTGCTCACCCTCTTTTCAGATCCTATTGTAGTGAGTAAAACCTCTGCTTTTCTTCCTTGCAGATCAAGCTTCTGCATAACCTTGATAGTGCAGAAGGTTGCTGTGCTTCCTTGGTCTAAAAATGCATAGACCTGCATTATTTGGTTACTCTTTTTGGACTTTATCTTCACTGGGACTATGGGGAGAATAGTTTCCCCGTTATCTTCCCCAGTATCTCTACTGACTTTATTCTCTGCCTCTACAAAGGCACTAGTCATCTTGTTAGTAGGCTGGAGCTTCTTTGGTGACATGCAAGATGCTTGGGTGTTTTCTTAAACACTCCCTGCATTGCATCCTTTTTCGACAATCCTTGCTCATATGGCCTTGTGTAAGGCAGCCAAAGCAGAGTCCTTTACTTATTATAAATCTGATTCTGTCTTTGGGAGTCTCACACCCTCAGTCTCTGATCATCATCTCTGGAGACTTTAATCATGCATCGCTGTCCTCCACTCTCCCTACCTTCAGCCAGTATGTAAACTGCCCAACAAGAGACAATAAAACTTTGGACTTACTGTATGCAAACACCAAGGATGCATACACCTCCTCCCCCTCCCCCCGCTGGGCCGCTCAGATCACAACCTGGTGAGACTGCAGCCCATTTACATACCTATGGTGAAGAAGCAACCCCCCACCATCAGGTATGTTAAGAGGTGGTCTGAGGAGGCAACTGAGGCGCTGCAGGACTGTTTTGAGACCACAGACTGGGATGTACTGTGCGGCCCACATGGTGATGACAACGACACCATGACAGACTGTATCACGGACTATATTAACTTCTGTGTTGAGAACACCGTACCCACCAGGAAAGTACGGTGTTTCTCCAACAGCAAACCCTGGGTGACCCCGGAACTTAAAGTCCTCCTGAAGGAGAAGAGGAGGGTCTTTAAATCTGGGGACAAGGAGGAGCTGAGGAGGGTGCAGAAGGAGTTGAAGAAGAAGATCAGAGAGGGAAAGGCCAGCTACAAGACCAAGATGGAAAACCTTTTGCAACAGAACAACGCAAGGGAGGTCTGGAGAGGCCTGAAATCCATATCAGGTCATAGCAGGGGCCATGAGAGGGGACCTGAAGCAGGAGACAGGGAGTGGGCCAACAAGCTGAATCTGTTCTTCAATAGATTTGACTCTGCTCCCACTCCTCCCCCGACTCATCAAACCAACGACCCGTCTGCTGCTCCTTCTTCTTCTTCACACCACCTCAGTCCCATGGCACCGACACCATCAACCCCCCTCCACTCATCCTCCACCACCCCCTCCAGCACCACCCCCAGCCTCTCCATAACAGCTGACCAGGTGAGAAGTGAGCTGAGGAAGATGAAGCCAAGGAAAGCCACGGGTCCTGACGGCATCAGCCTCAGACTCCTGAAAGACTGTGCAGACCAGCTCTGTGAGGTGCTACTGCACATCTTCAGCTTGAGCCTGAGTCTGGAGAGGGTCCCAACACTGTGGAAGACTTCCTGCGTGATTCCTGTCCCCAAGACATCGCACCCAGGGAGCCCAACCACTTCAGACCTGTGGCCCTCACTTCTCACCTGATGAAGACTCTGGAGAGGATGGTGCTGAGGAACCTCCGCCCCCTGGTGAGCTCTCATCTGGATCCTCTGCAGTTTGCGTACCAGCTGATCATCGGGGTGGATGACGCAGTCATCTACCTGCTGCAGAGGTCCATGGCCCACTTGGATAATACCGGCAGCACTGTGAGGGTCATGTTTTTTGACTTCTCCAGTGCGTTCAACACCATCCAGCCTTCACTGCTCAGGGGGAAGCTCGAGCGGGCGGGAGTAGACTGTCACCTAGCCGCATGGACCGTGGACTACCTCACCGACAGACCACAGTTTGTGAGGCTTCAGAACTGTGTATCGGACATGGTGGTCTGCAGCACGGGGGCTCCACAGGGGACAGTGCTCTTCCCCTTCCTCTTCACCCTGTACACCTCAGACTTCAGCTACAACTCTGGGAGCTGTCACCTCCAGAAGTTCTCTGATGACACAGCCATCGTCGGATGTGTATCGTCAGGGGATGAGCGGGAATACAGGACTGTTATCACTGACTTTGTCAATTGGTGTGGCACAAACCACCTCCAGCTCAACGCCAGTAAGACAAATGAGATGGTTGTGGATTTCTGCAGGAGGAGGACACCCCAGACTGTTCCAGTGAACATCCAGGGTCTGGACATCGAGATGGTCCTACAGATTCCTGGGTGTCCACCTCAACAACAAACTGGACTGGTCAACAAACACAGACGTTCTGTACAAGAAGGGCCTAAGTCGTCTCCACCTACTGAGGAGACTGAGGTCTTTTGGAGTGTGCAGGACTCTGCTCAGGACCTTCTATGACTCTGTGGTAGCATCTGCACTTTTCTATGCAGTGGTCTGCTGGGGGGCAGGGAGCACCGAGAGGGACAGGAAGAGACTGAATAGACTGGTCAGGAGGGCCGTTTCTGTCCTGGACTGTTCCTTGGACTCCCTGGAGGAGGTGGGTGAGAGGAGGATGTTAACAAAGCTTGTATCCATCATGGACAATCCCTCTCACCCACTGCACCAGACAGTGGGGGCTTTAGGCAGCTCCTTCAGCAGCAGACTGAGACTCCCACCCTGCAGGACGGAGCGCTACCGCAGATCATTCCTCCCCTCTGCAATAAGACTTTACAATGAACAGTAACGAAACTGGATTTACACCACCACATTTTTTCTGGCATTTAAATTGTGTATATTGTAGAAAGCTTTATTTTTTCTTCTCCCTTTTCTAATTTTTTTCTTAATTATTACATTTATTTAAGTTCTTAATATTAGGATCCTTATTTTTATAACTGCATTTTTGCACTCTTTGTCTTGTCTGTGATGCTGCTGTGACAAAAAAATTTCCCCCTTGGGGGATCAATAAAGGAATATTCTATTCTATATTCTATTCTATTCCTTTATCTTCTCACAGACCTTAAAGGGGACCTGCCATCAAAACTTCATACCCATTTGTATCATTTTTTCATAATCCTTGATGTCCTCTGATCATGTTTGCAACATAATTTTAGCTGAATAGTTATTTGATGGTTTGTTTCAAACCATTTTAGTATGCCTAAGAAACCTTACAGGAAAACCAACTGATTTTGGCTCATTAACATTTATGGTAATATGCTTTGCTCTGATTGGATCGCTGCTGTGAAGCCGCTGTGCTCTGATTGGCTCATCAGTGGAGGTTCGGATTTCGGTTTATCCATTTTGCTTATGTGTGCTGAAGTAAAGGTGCCCAGATGTCTGTAATGCTATCCGGGGAGATCTCCAGCAGTGTTTTCATTCATTCTGCCCAGTTTTAAGTTCATTTTCCCGGCAGTGAACCCAGGGAAACACCGGCCATTTAGAAGAGACCCATAGCGGGTACAGTGGTAGCTGGGTCTCGCTCTGGCTGGAGAGTGATGTTGACTGTGAATGAGTACGAGAACGAGAGAGTGAGCACGGCTCACCGAGGACGCGCTCGTGAATAATAATGAGCAAGGTCGGTGTGACGTCAGAAGGACCTGCCTTTTCAATTGGCCTGGTTTACCCGTTTCTTTTTTTTTAAACCTTTACAGAATGCAAACGATGTAACGGTTTGTTTTCACATTTACAACATAAGACGAACATAATATGGACCTTATCTGACACAAAAACACACAAAATTACATTTTTGATGGCAGGTCCCCTTTAAAAGCATGGCTCTTTTTTGCAGTAAATGCAAGGACTTTGAAAAGCAACAGCTGGTATGTCTGGACCTTGCTGCTTCTATTGTGGACATTGAGCACTACTTTGTCCCCCTGTTGGAGAGACACTTGTAGCAAAGCGGCTTTTGGGGTTACTTCTCCTAAAGGTTATCCTTTGCTTCCCCTTTCCTTCTACGCCAATGTCCAAGATATCTCCAAACAGTGGGTCATTAAAAACTTGCTTGCCAGTTGATAAAATTCACCACATCAACAAACCTAGCTCTTCTTCCTGGCTTGCTTGGATCTTATATGCTTGATTTCTCCACTGCTCCTTTAACTTGAAGGGTAGTTTTGAGATGACAGTCTTCATATTGCTAGGATTGTTGATTTCATCCATGAACTCAACACGCTTCATAGTGTTTCGGCATCCTATCAGAAATAAAGCACATACAATCAGAAGGGGCTGCTAGCTTCAAACGGTCTGTAGGTGCCACTGAACTGGTTGCTCTGTAAGTTGAGGCCCCAAAATGGGACATTAGCAGACTGCGCTGGTTGCTGTGTGCACAGAGGTGTTAAAGAATCTGCTGCTGTCGCATCATCTTCATCTTTAACTTGACCTGTGTCTTTTAACCCTGCTCTGTGCTTGTACTCTGTCTTGTAGTATTCAGTCATTCCATCTTGACCATCTTCATAATAACCACCTTTATCTTTTCATCTGCTGCAGCAATCTTAGCATTTAGCTTCAGCTGTTCCTTGCGTGCCTTTAAGTGAGCCTCTTCCCTCTCTATTTTTGTTTTTCCTTTAAAAAGGCAGCACGTGCCACCAGTTCTTCTCGCTCTGCCTGTAGCTTTAAGCAAGCAGAGCTTGTGTTGGACCCTTGTGATTAGCGACTGACCACTGAGCTGGTTCTCTTTCCTTTAGATGTGCAACTGCTTATTTCTAAGATCGTCATCACCATCATTATCATCATCAATCTCTTTGTCATCATTGTTCTTTTCATCAGGATGTGTCATTATCCTTTCCACCCAATCCTTTGTTTCTCATAAAAAGTTTTCAATTTGCCCACATTTGGCCTTATACCAGTTGTCTCGATCCTCTTTTTTATCTTCTTCCTCAAAAAGAGGCAACAGTTCTGCATTTATCTCTTTAAATTGTCCATAAAACTTGATATAGATAAGCAATGCTTCTTTTTTACTTCAACTTTGTCTCTCTTTTTCTCTAGGGCTTCAATCTCTTTTCTTTTACGAGTAAGCTGCACCAACTTGCCTTTTCTTTCATTCTTAAGCCTGTTAAGTTTTCCTTCTACAGCCTTTGCCATGGGCTTTGGCGTCCTCTTCTTGCCATGTGCCACACCTTCCATTATTTTCGGTTTCACTCTTATTTGCACAAAAACTGTCTTCCTTTCTTTACAATGACAGCTTCTCACTCTTCCGCAGAAACTTTCAAGAGTTTTAATTTTAAGTGAATTCTTAGAAGTGACCACTTGTAGCTTTAGTGTGTGGCGTTTCAGGCTCACCTGAGCGCAGCTGCCGTTAGTGTGGCTGTGGCTGAATCCTCCTTACGCGTTTTGCGGCCTATCCATGTCTGTAAGGTTCACCTGGTGTGTTTCATCCTTTATGAGTGAAGACTAACTTTTACAATCCTCTTCTCCTCCTTTCAAGGTGTCTTCTGTATGCGTAGTCCTCTCAACAAGCGTAGTCTTTGACTTTTGTGAGTGAAGCTCCGTCTAATGATTGAAGACCCTCTGAGGTGATGAACCAGAGCATGTAGATGACGCGTATTTCCATAATAAAACACCATAGTCGTCAATCTTTCCTTTCTTGAACTTACTTGGAGGTTTACTTTGCATAACAAAACGATACCTTTTGCAAATAATAATGACGAAATCAAGACCTGATGTAAACACGGTCAAAAACTATTGTGCTCTCAAAAACCCACAGCTGCACTAATTACCCAAGAAAAACCCGCAGTATTGAGTGAAGGGTGTGAATACTTATGTATGAGTGTTCTTATTTTTAATACATTTGCAAAATGTTCTAAAAAAAGTTTTTCACTTTGTCATTATGGGGTATTTTGTGTAGAATCTTTGAGGGAAAAAGGGAATTTAATCAATTTTGGAATAAGGCTGTAACATAACAAAATGTGGAAAAAGTGAAGTGGTATGAATACTTTCTGGATGCACTGTATACCTACCTACCTATTACATATCATAGGTAAAGAGCTAACTCTCAGACCAAGGTTAACATGGTCTTTCAACTTTACCATCACTTACGCAAGACTGCTATTTGAACTTTCCTTTCAAATTTGCAATAACACTAACAGCCCTAAGTATACATGATAAAAGCTCAAACTTAGCTACATACTACACTTTTACACATCACAATATACTTAATACACAGAAAGCTCTGCAAGGTCGTCCGATTATTACACAATGATGGAAAGAAGCAGATGCAGAGAGGAGCTCAGTGAATAAGATATGTGTCAGAGTAGTCAATAAACTCAAGTTTATGATGGTACAACTGACCGCGCTACCTTGAACAACCTACTTCAACAAATACAAGGAATGCACTTAATACTAATATAGCTGGTAAACTGTGAGTATGGCCAAAGTTTGAAGGGTGCAGTAGAAGAAAGAAAGAGGTAGAATGAAAAATGTGGATGATCAATGAATGTGGAGTAATGCTCGTTGTAAAAATTAAAGGTGTAAGAATGATTTTGCTTACCTCCAACACTGTGACTCAGCCAAGCTAATTTAAGCCACTAAACCACTTAAAGTATTTAAAGTATTGTCTTATATCTACCAAAGCTTTCAAATTTATGCTATAATTTATTTCATTTAAACAGTTAGGTATCCTTCACCTCTTATCCTCCACAGAAACTAGTGCTGATATCTATAGGAAAAATAAATTGCAGAAAAGTAAGTAGGGGGGTAAAGCAACTACACCCAGAGATCGTAGAGGCTGCAGCACCAGTGTTTAGTCAAACAAATATAATTATAGTAAGAAAAGTGGAGTACTTGGAGAAACAGCATTTATGATGTGTATTGATTAAATATTCAAAATCATGTTCAATAGGGATGGAACGGTTTAAGAAACCGTACTGAACCGTTCTGTTCGACCGTCCCGGTTCGGTGCGCTTGCGTCCCGTTCGGGTCATACACATGCGCAACTATGAGTGTGTCCCAGAAATTAGTTGTAGAGGAGCTGTGAACATGGCGAGCGGAGAAGACTCGGGGCTGGAAGACGCGCCACCAGCGTTATATAGGTCCGGTGTATGGGAGCATTTTGCATTCAGGGTGAACTATGAAGGCGTTAAGAAAGTTGTGGATAAAAGTGCGACAGTGTGCAAGTACTGTGCAACACGCATTGCTTATGCTAACGGGAACACATCTAACATGTCAGTTCATTTACGGAGACATCATCCCAGTGTGGCTGTTGACAGCGCAAGGAGGGGCAACGCTGCACAACTTCTTCTCCTCGCAGCTTTTAAACAGCCGTACAATGACTGGTCGGACAGGGCGAAGGGCATAACAAAGGCACTGGGGTGTTTCATCGCCAAAGATAAGCAACCTTACGCCATGGTTGAGGGTGCGGGATTTCAGTGAATGATAAAGGCGCTCGAGCCGCGATATAAGATCCCCCTCCCGCAAACACCTGAGCGCCTCGGTAATTCCCGCACTTTATGAAAAGATCCGATGGGGAATTGTGAAAGAACTGTCTGACACAGCCTATGTTGCTCTTACTACCGATGGATGGACCTCCAGGGCAACTGAAAGTTTCCTGACTGTGACTGTCCATTACATTACCTCAGAGTAGGAGATGAGGGGACATTGTCACTGCAAGTAGATCTCGTCTCTTGGCAGAGAATGTGGACAAACTGATCTTCTTGCAGAAGAACTTGATGATACAATGAGCAGAGTTGTGTGAGAGAGTGCAGGAGAGCGCAGGATCTGTTAAATTTGGTTTATGCTGCATTTTATATTGATGACCTCTTAATTTGGATTATGTATTTCATTTACTTTAGACTTTAGATAACACAGTGACACTTAAAGTTTGATCAAAACTACAGCCTGATTTCTTTGATTGTATTTCACACACTTCACTGCGCTTCAATTTCAAGTGAAAAATACTGAGCTTTTCATTAACAACTAATAATCAGGGAGTTGTTACATGTTACGAGAAAAATGTTGTTTTTGTGTTGATTTTAAAAGGGCATAAGTCTAGTGCTGATAGAGCCTATGCTTCACTTTATGTTGATGGTATAGAATGTTGTTTGTAAAATAGTAAAGTTCAATTCTTTTGTATTCACTAATTCAAGGGTCAGAGCTATAAGAGCCATTTTACTTTTTGTTTAGATAGATAGAGATATCCTTTGCCAAATAAATGTAAAGCATGTTTGAACTATGTCTCCTCTCTTGCACTGCCAGAATCTGACCTACCTTTGAACCTAAGACTGTCACAATGATGTATTGAATGTCAGACTGCCTCATTCTTTCAGTTTACTATACAAGACGCAATTGATTTTTGTAACAGTTAATGTATACTGAACCGAACCGAAAACCGTGACCACAAAACCGTGATACGAACCGAACCGTGGATTTTGTGAACCGTTCCACCCCTATGTTCAATATACACTCACCGGCCACTTTATTAGGTATACCTGTCCAACTGCTTGTTAACACTTAATTTCTAATAGGCCAATCACATGGCGGCAACTTAGTGCATTTAGGCATGTAGACATGGTCAAGACAATCTCTTGCAGTTCAAACCGAGCATCAGTATGGGGAAGAAAGGTGATTTGAGTGACTTTGAACGTGGCATGGTTGTTGGTGCCAGAAGGGCTGGTCTGAGTATTTCAGAAACTGCTGATCTACTGGGATTTTCACGCAAAACCATCTCTAGGGTTTACAGAGAATGGTCCGAAAAAGAAAAAATATCCAGTGAGCGGCAGTTCTGTGGGCGGAAATGCCTTGTTGATGCCAGAGGTCAGAGGAGAATGGCCAGACTGGTTCGAGCTGATAGAAAGGCAACAGTGACTCAAATAACCACCCGTTACAACCAAGGTAGGCAGAAGAGCATCTCTGAACGCACAGTACGTCGAACTTTGAGGCAGATGGGCTACAGCAGCAGAAGACCACGCCGGGTGCCACTCCTTTCAGCTAAGAACAGGAAACTGAGGCTACAATTTGCACAAGCTCATCGAAATTGGACAATAGAAGATTGGAAAAACGTTGCCTGGTCTGATGAGTCTCGATTTCTGCTGCGACATTCGGATGGTAGGGTCAGAATTTGGCGTCAACAACATGAAAGCATGGATCCATCCTGCCTTGTATCAACGGTTCAGGCTGGTGGTGGTGGTGTCATGGTGTGGGGAATATTTTCTTGGCACTCTTTGGGCCCCTTGGTACCAATTGAGCATCGTTGCAACGCCACAGCCTACCTGAGTATTGTTGCTGACCATGTCCATCCCTTTATGACCACAATATACCCAACTTCTGATGGCTACTTTCAGCAGGATAATGTGCCATGTCATAAAGCTGGAATCATCTCAGACTGGTTTCTTGAACATGACAATGAGTTCACTGTACTCAAATGGCCTCCACAGTCACCAGATCTCAATCCAATAGAGCATCTTTGGGATGTGGTGGAACGGGAGATTCGCATCATGGATGTGCAGCCGACAAATCTGCGGCAACTGTGTGATGCCATCATGTCAATATGGACCAAACTCTCTGAGGAATGCCTCCAGCACCTTGTTGAATCTATGCCACAAAGAATTGAGGCAGTTCTGAAGGCAAAAGGGGGTCCAACCCGTTGCTAGCATGGTGTACCTAATAAAGTGGCCGGTGAGTGTAAGATGCTTAATAGGCATTAAGTAATAAATGGTTATGAACAAAGTGATGGGTTTATAAGTGCCATAAAAATTCCTAGCAGCACTCTAGTAGTACATTAGAGGCATGTACTACGGAGCTGGATTAACACACCCAGGATAACTCTGCAACAACTCACTCAACTTCACTAGATCTCTGTTATCCCCATCAGCTGTTATCACAAAGCAGGATATCAACTCAATAACTAAATCCAGTGGTGGTCAATCTAAATCCATAAAGGGGGCGGGGCCACCGGACCTATTTCCACAATGATGAAGGCTGCGAGAGTGTCATATCGAGTGACATTTCATAGCCAAGGAACAAAGCTTTATATTACCCAAATACAAGGAGTACCGCAACATTATGACAACACTGCCGCAGCTGCGAGACGCCGGAGGGACTGCTGGCAAAAAATCACTGATTGTGTAAATTACATTTGTGCGTTCATAAATTTATTGTCCCTAATATGTTGTCATGCAGTGTGTGTGATCACCATCATCATTGACATCATTGACAATTATTTTAGCTGCAACAGCAGTGGTGAAAAGAGGATGTGGGAGCAAATAAAAAATAAAAATAACTAGGGCCCCGTTGGGGCACTGGCGGGCCCGAGCCGTGTCACGCCGCCCCCAGCGCGACCGCCTCCCCCACCCGATCGCGTCACACTCAAGGTCCAAAGATGGTGTGCGCACTTGTTTGTGGTCATTTACCATTATAATGAACGGGAGGCGCAGTTTCTACCAAAACGCTCGCTGCAGAAAAACTCCATGTCCTATTTGAAAAAAGTCTGGACCATGAGTGAGGGCACAAACACAGCTAAGATATATCCAAATGGCAAGTTGCTCCTCCTTTCGCTTTTGCCGAGAGAGCAGTGCGTTTGAGCCATTGAATGATGAACAGGAAAAACTTGACTTTATTCTCCTGCCATGGGGGGCGCTCTTTTAAAGAGAAAAAACTCCTTCACAAATGTGTTGATGGCTGGACATTGCATCATCCTAGAAAACATGGAGGCCAGTGAGGACAAAAATAAAAAGTTATAAGACTTTTAAATATGTGGATTTTAGGGTTATATTTGGCGCCCCCTAGAACCTAAACCGTGGGGTGCAGCGTCATGATTTGAATAACTTTTAATGGCCATGGGGTGTAGATTGGCCTGAGCAAATGTGGTGCCGGTGGAACGAAAGCCTTCGGAGGAATTAGCGAAATTCCAATGTGTGCGAATCTGCAAAAAATGCGAAATAACCCTTTAACCGTACATTTTACAGATACGTGGCCATTGACTTTTTCGAAGATCTTATATAAATACACGTGTATGTAAAATTTTGTGTCAATACGACAAAACATACAGGCGTAGCACTCAACAATGTGTATTTTCACCTTAGTGGACAAGAAAAAATTGACTTTTTTCTCCTGCCATGGGGGGCGCTCTTTTGCCGAGTAAAAATTCCTTCACAAATGTGTTGATGGCTGGACATTGCATCATCCTAGAAAACTTGGAGGCCAGTGGGGACAAAAATAAAAAGTTATAAGACTTTTAAATATGTGGATTTTACGGTTATCTTTGGCTCCCCCTAGAACCTAAACCGTGGGGTGCAGCGTCATGATTTGAATAACTTTTAATGGCCATGGGGTGTAGATTGGCCTGAGCAAATGTGGTGCCGGTGGAACGAAAGCCTTCGGAGGAGTTAGCGAAATTCCAATGTGTGCGGATCGGCAAAAAATGCGGAATAACCCTTTAACCGTACATTTGACAGATACGCGCGCATTGACTTTTTCGTAGATCTTATTGAGATACATGTGTGTGTCAATTTTTGTGTCATTTTGCCAAAGCGTACAGGTGTTACACTCAACAATGTGTATTTTCACCTTAGGGGACAAGAAAAAATGGACTTTTTTCTCCTGCCATGGGGGGCGCTCTTTTGGGGAGTAAAAATTCCTTCACAAATGTGTTGATGGCTGGACATTGCATCATCCTAGAAAACTTGGAGGCCAGTGAGGGCAAAAATAAAAAGTTATAAGACTTTTAAATATGTGGATCTTAGGGTTATCTTTGGCGCCCCCTAGAACCTAAACCGTGGGGTGCAGCGTCATGATTTGAATAACTTTTAATGGCCATGGGGTGTAGATTGGCCTGAGCAAATGTGGTGCCGGTGGAACGAAAGCCTTCGGAGGAGTTAGCGAAATTCCAATGTGTGCGGATCGGCAAAAAATGCGAAATAACCCTTTAACCGTACATTTGACAGATACGCCCGCACTGACTTTTTTGTAGATCTTATTGAGATACATGTGTGTGTCAATTTTTGTGTCATTTTGACAAAGCGTACAGGCGTGACAGTGAATAGTGTGAATTTTCACCTTAGGGGGCGCTATGGAGCCATTTTGCATTTTCTTGTTTGGGCGACTTCGGAATATCAAATTTTTCACCAGGCCCGGTCGTCCTGCCAAATTTCATGAGTTTTCGCCAGTGGGAAGTGGGCCATTTTCCAGTTCAAAGGGGAGGAAAAATAATAATAATAACAAAAGAAGGAAACTACAGGAACAAGAGGGCTCTCGCAGCTGCTTAGCAGCTACGCTCGGGCCCTAAAAACATCCTTCAAAGTGGTTAGCAGGTTTATTGGAAGATTTTTATATGTCAACATGTAAACAGTGAATTCCTCACACTGCCTTAATGAGGAGCTGGAAATGCAATTTAACATCATAGAACAGATTCAGCGAACAGTTGTTTTACCTTGCTTGAGCTTCCTGCACAGCACGACTCCCTGAAGATGCAGGAGTCCTGCACAGAACCTGGCCACTTTGCCTTAAGGGGTAATCAGACCAAATGCGACCAGGTCGTGTCGTGTCGCTCCTTCAGGTCGCGTCGTGCCCTGGTGTGTTCACAGCAGGTCCAAAGCTGCAGTCGCAGGTCGCGGCTGGTCGCCGATGACGTCATCCATGAGAATGTCACTAGCTCAGTTTTCAGTGCGACCAGTGTTTAAGATGGCCAACATCGTCCTCTGTGCTGCCGCATATCTGTACATCCGCAGTAGCCGCCGCCGGCGTTTATGGGTGCATGAAACCATCCGGAGGAGGACAGAGCTGGGTGAATTTCACGGCTTGCTCCAGGAACTCTGCCTGGACGACGGCCACTTCCAGCGGTATTTGCATGTGTCGACGGCGCAGTTCGAGGACGCCCTCGCCCGGGTGGGAAGCAGCATCTCCCGCCAGGACACGAACTACAGGCGCTCCATCTCAGCTTCGGAGCGCCTGTCTATCTGTCTGTCCCTCATATAAACGTCCCTAAGCCCCTTCCACCGCTTGCGGCACACATCTACTGCAAAGACACACACACATACGTTGAAACATGTAGCCTAGCAAGCAGGGGCAGTTAGCTATGTTTTCATAAAACAGTCCGCTCACTGAAATAAATAAACAAGCTTACCAGAAAGCCCGACATCATGGGCCACCTTCACCCATGCTTCTTCCTTGGAGGTGCGGTCCCGGAAGAGCCCGCACCCCACGTCGTATAGCACCGGGTGGTAGCTAACAGCTGTGATTAGCTGCTCCTCCATTGTGTGAATCTTCTTCTCCTCCTTGCTTCGCCGGTTTGTTGACATCAGCAGAGCCCTGATTGGCTGTCGCGAAGAGTCGCTGGGAGCGACGCGACTTGGGGTCCTGGGACCTCGCGTCGCAGGCAGCCGGCGGTCGCCAAGTCGCGTCAGGTTGCGGCTGTCCATAGACTTTGCATTGGGAGCCGTTGCCGACGTCGCCGAGGTCGCGTTTGGTCTGAACACCCCTTTAAGGCTCGTGACCATCATCTGATGGTCAGATGTCATCTGCAGACACATTTGGGTCTAAGGTGGGGTAGGCAGGAATCTGTTGAAGAAGCATCCTTTTTAGTGGTGTATTCAAAAACCTTTTATATCAGTCAATAACTATTAGTTATTGATGACATTTGGGAATATAACGATATCCCTGTGTTCTCTTATGTCTGTCTAGTCAACATTTTAAATTTTTTAAGCGGCCTACTCATTCTGACTATAAACAAAGCCACTCTCCACCACCTCGACCTGATTGGCTGTGAAGCGGACCCTGCTCCTTAGTGCTGATTGGTTGTGAAGCAGACCCTGCTCCCTCGTGTTGTGAGGCAGGCTCCACGTCCACAAATAACATGCATGCCCAAACAAAGATAGCGTGCTACAATATCGGGCAGTAGAAACCAACTAGGAAGTACAGAAATTTGTCTGAATCCTCCTTTGGTCATAACTGCCAACACAATCAATAAAACAAAGTAAACGAGGGCTTAAAAAGGAGGCAGACCGGACAAGAGCTAAAAAGCTAGGTCAACATCAGTGTAGCATAAATGATGGGCGATGCTTCGATACCTTAAGGACCTTGTAACCTTTCTGCTGGACAGGTAAACTGCTTTAACAAAGTAAGCCAAGTGTCTGTAACAAAAGTGTTTCCTATCAAACGGGACCTGCTGCGTGTTGTAGTGCCACTAAACTGTTAACCTCGGGTCCTGAAGTATGTCACTTTATCCTTATTGTAGAAGTCCTGCAAACATTGTGTTTGCTGGTAGTCTGTTGGCATCTACAATAGCACCAATGCTTTTACTTTACCCCATTTGTAATTATCTGAAGTATTTATCTACATTATATCTGAATTTAACTGAAACGATACAAGCGAGGACAATCGTCTGTTTGTGGGCAGGGCTTGCCGGAGCAGAGAGGGAGGGAGAGGAGGAGCTGAGGGGAAAACTGGTTGGGAGGGGTAGTGTTTACATTCAAGATGTCTCTCAAAAACTGGAACTTCCTCAGATCCTGCTTACCCTCCTTTTAAGAGGAGTTTTCTAATCTGCCTCAATAGATTCTAAAAGATGACTGATATGGGGATGTGCAGTCTATGGCCTTGATCACTCTGAGGAAGCCTGAGCAAAGAGAGGATTCAATATCCAAATGCATACATAGAATAGCATCATATGTGGACTTGCTATTTATGAACCTACCTGCCAGAGCATAAAACCTCTCTTTGATGGTATGCAGGGGCAAATGGCCAGGGAAAACAACAAACATGTACAGCAGATCCGTCAGTGCCCCAGCAACTTTATGAACTGCTTTGCAACAGGTATTTTTGCTCAGGTTTTCTGCATCTCCCACAGCATACATGAAAGTGCCTGTGGGTTTTGTAAAAAAAATGAATAAGTGGTGGAATAAAGTATGCTAATGCAAATTTATCTTTTGTCTTTTTATGCGAGCCATGCTTTGTCAGCGTTAAATGCCATGAACGTAATTAGACAACTAAATCCATATAAATACTCAGTGGCAAAAACACTCAATGCAAGGCATACAGTCTGCGAGACTGTGGGCGCCCGACTGCGGTGGGGAACGTTGGCCACCAAAGGCTCCAACAGCTCACTAATACATTGCAGCCTGTCCAAGAAAAACCTGTAACGTTCATAGAGAATGTCATCAGGTAAATCGAACGTATATGAACAATCACAGAAATAACGCTCTCGACTAAGCGCTCCTCTCACTATCCATGCACCAATGTCCACAGGATCCAACAAAAGTGGGCGAGCCATTTTCCATGAGATCCGATGGTCAGTGGACGGTCTTTTATACACACTGAGATCTTATTCAGAAACAAAACCTGCTCTGGAGCAGGTTTAGCATTCCGTAAAAGTTTCTGGGGCAACGGACCTGGATAGAAAGAAATCCGCCATCGTGGTACAGAAAAGGCAGGAGTTATCCAGAAATTATCTCGCTAAGATCAAATCCCGCTTTGTTGTACAGGCCTCAGATGATGTTGGAGAGGGCATATAGAGTATGCCTGTTTTTATGCCTGATATTCAGTGTCATTGTTTTTCTGCAGACTATCCTGATGGCAGTAACTCCAGTGAGTACCTGGTCCAGCCAACCACATACCTCCCTGAGAACTTCACCTATGCCCAGAACCTCCCCTGCCCAGAGCGATTACCTTCTATGAGTAAGTAGACCAATGCCACAGAGTTTGGCCAGGTTTTCACATGTAAGTCATGTTTCATGATTATTAACTAAGGTAGCCATGCTTTAAGAGTAAGGGGAGGATGTTTTGGCAGGGCTGTACAGTAGGACCTATATGTCGCAAATGCTACAAGACAATCATCCTGCGCTACGATTTTTTTTGTCCCTTAGCACTGGTTTGGTAAGGGCCAGAGAGCTATTGTAAACATTTGTGTGTGTATATGTGTGTGCTATACTTACATCAATAGCTTCCCCTCAAATGCAGTACAGTAGTTGCAGTTTATGCGAGAGAGCGAGCGAGTCCCTACTCCAGGAAAAGACTGAAGCGCTTCACGAGGCAAACAAAACAATCACCAAACTCAAACTCCGTATTCAAAAACTCTCTGATGAGCTCAAATCAAAATCCACTCTCCTCACAACCTGCATTGATGTGGCTCACCAGCAATCCCTCCACCTTTTCTCCCTCCAAACAACCCTTCAGGACACACTACCCTGGGAGCCTCAAAGCCCGTCCACCACGTCCCAACCGCCATCCACCACTGCACCCAACCAGGACTCAACATGGACTGAAATAACCACACGCGGCAGAAAAATCACCAACACCACCCCCAGGAACCCGGCCGGGCCTACCTCAAGCTCCATGCCGAGCAATCCACTGACCCGGTCCGAGGTCCTTGCCGGCGTCAAGACAAATCCTTCCAATGATCCCTCTACAATCCGGCTGTCCCTCTCAAACCGCTTCGAGGCTCTTGAGAATCCTCCTGAGCCTGCCAACTCCAGCATGAACCAGTCCCTTCTCGGCGGTGACGTGGCGGCGTCCCCTACAGCGGCTGCCGGAGCTCCCATGGCTCCTACATGGCCACCCGATGGAGCCCCCGGGCCTTCGTCCACGTCCTCCGGTGCCCTCGCGGCGTGCCGGCTCGAGGACCGGGTAGCCTCCGCTCTTCTAGCGACCAGCTCCCGGGCGTCACCGGGCGCTGGCGCTAAGAACACCTCCCTGCCGGCGTACAGAGGGATTCCCGTGTGGCCTGGCACTGACGGAGGGGACCCTTCTCCGTCGGTCCCTGGTCGCGCGCGGTGTCCCGGAACCCGCCTTGACCACCGCTCGGAGAGCCGGCCCGCGTCCTCGGCCGCCCGCAGGAGGTTTCTCCGGGAGGCAGTCCGATGGAACTCCACCGGGCCCGCTTCAGCTGCCCCGGACCGAAATGGCAGACCATCCCCGCAGCCGCTGGCATCCACCGCACTGCTGAGTCCCCGTACCCCGGCCACCAGCCCTGCTTCGGATATAGGAGCCATGCACCCCCCGCCGCTGTTTCCCCCCACCACCTTGATCATCGGTGACAGCATCATACGAGGTATTCGTTATTTTAATGCCATCACTCGCTCTTTCCCCCGTGCAACTGTCGCCGACATCACAGCAAAACTCCCCGGTCTTCTCCAATCACTTCCTGCCTCTATCCACCGTTTTATTGTCCACGTTGGCACCAACGACACGGCTCGCCAACAGTCTGAACGGACAAAAAAAGACTTCAGGACACTTCTCGATAGCCTTCAGTGCAGTGGCAAAACTGTTTTTATAAGTGGCCCGCTACCAACACTGACACGTAGCATCGATCGTTTAGCCGCCTCCTCAGCCTAAACTCCTGGCTTCGAGCCCTCTGCTGCACCCTTTCCACCCACTTCATTGACAATTTTAACCTGTTCTGGAACCGACCCCCATTCTTCTCTAATGACGGACTTCACCCAAACAAACTGGGCCATCAGACACTTGCCGCTAATATCCAACACCACATACACACCAACTGACTATCATTGTTTACATACTCCCTGTCATCCTCTCCCACTACCCCACCTGGAAACAGCGCCCCCCAGAGGCCCCCCTTCGGAACCCTCGCCCTCACCACCCCCACCACCGGCTCCCCCAACAGGCCCCAACTGGTACTGCACACCAACCCCATCGCCCCCACCACATCAAGCTCCCCCTCCTGGTCCAAACAGCTACTACACCCTCCAACCATAGACTCTCCTTGCAAACAATTGCAAACAATTCAAACAATTACAACTACTGGGCCCTCCTGCTCAAATCCCATGCATCTAAAAAGAAGGACAAGAAATCTAACAAATCTCTGCTGCCTTCCCCCTGCCTCACTGCCCACCCCACAGCCCCCTCCCCTGAAGATGGCCCTTCAAAACACCCACTCCCTCTATAACAAAGGACTCATCCTAGCTGACTTCATAACAGACAATAACCTGGACTTCCTCTATCTAACTGAAACCTGGCACAACCATCTCGACCTCTTTCCACTCAACCAAGCCACCCGCCCCGGTTACTCCTACTTGCACCAACCCCGCCTCACTGGACGAGGCGGAGGCGTCGCAGTCATTCACAAACAAACCCTCAAGACCACCCCCGTCCCCACCCTGTCCGTCCACTCATTTGAAAATATCTCTGTCAAACTCCCCGGCCCCACCCCTCTGGTCACTATCTACCGCCCCCCAAAGCCCGACCCATCATTCCTCTCTGATTTCTCTGAACTTGTCACCCACCGAAACACCATCTCATCCTCTGTCCTGCTGCTTGGAGACTTCAACTTTCACTTTGACAACCCCACCTGCAAACAAGCATCTGATTTCCTGGATCTGCTCGACACCCTCAATCTCACCCAGCATGTGCACTCCCCCACCCACTCCCATGGCCACACCCTCGACCTCGTCTGCTCCACCGGCATCTCCATCCACCATCTCTCCACCACCAACCTCTATATATCTGATCACCTGGCTGTCACTTTCAACGTCGACCCCCCCCCCCCCGCCTCACAGTGAAAAACGACAAATTACCTTCAGAAACCTCAAATCCATCTCACCACAGGACCTCTCCGCTTCCCTATCTGCCACCCTCACTGCATCCCCTCCCTCACCATCTGCTAAACTTCCTGACCTACTCAACTACTACAATAACACTCTATCCTCCTGCCTGGACCAGCTCGCACCTCTCAAAACAAAAACAGTTTCATTCAGACACTCTGCCCCCTGGTATACTTCAGAACTACACAAAATGAAATCCCATAAACGCCAACTGGAACGTCTATACCGCAAAACCGTTCTCACTGTCCATCTCCAAGCCTACACCGACCACCTCCACCTATACAGAACAGCCCTCAAATCCGCCCGCTCATCCTATTACTCCAACCTCATCAACTCCGGCTCCAGTAACCAAAAGGCTCTTTTCTCCACCGTCAAAAAACTGCTCCACCCCATAGACAGTTCCTCCATCACCTTCACCCCGGAAAAATGCAACACATTCCTCTCCTCTTTTCAATCCAAAATCAACGCAATCTATAACTCCCTTCCCCCACCCTCCATTCCCTGCTCCTCCCCTCATCCCATCAGCACTCTCCTGCTTCTCACCTGTCTCCTCAACCGACGTGACTAATATCATCTGCTCCATATCTTCATCTACCTGTATCCTGGATCCCATCCCTTCTTCCCTTGTCAAGCACTGCCTCCCCGTCATCTCCCCAATCATTACACAGATCATCAACTCCTCCCTCAACTCCGCCACTGTTCCCCCGTCACTCAAACTGGCCGCTGTCACCCCCATCCTCAAAAAACCTGGACTCAACCCCGACGACATCAGTAACTTCCGGCCCATCTCCAACCTCCCTTTCCTGTCAAAAATCCTCGAACGTGTCATCGCATCACAAATCAAAACCCACCTCAACAATAACAACCTATACGAACAGTTTCAGTCAGGATTCCGCACCCACCACAGCACCGAAACTGCCCTCATCAAAGTGACAAACGACCTCCTCATTTCTGCTGACTCTGGCCAACTCTCCATCCTCATCCTTCTCGACCTCTACGCTGCTTTCGACACCATCAACCATGCCATCCTTCTGTCCCGCCTACACTCCCTCCTCAATATCACAGACACCGCTCTTAACTGGATCCACTCTTACCTCACAGACCGGAATCATTTCATACATATTAACAACTGCTCCTCCACAACCGCCCCCGTGTCCCAAGGTGTCCCCCAGGGCTCGGTGCTTGGTCCCCTCCTCTTCATCATCTACCTCCTCCCTCTTGGCCACATCCTCCGTCAACACAACCTCCACTTCCACTGCTATGCTGATGACATTCAATTATATATCTCTTCCAACTCCATCACCCCCCAGACCCAACGCTCCCTCTCAAACTGCCTTTCTGACATCAAACACTGGATGGACAACAATCTCCTCAAGCTCAATTATGACAAAACAGATCTCATCATCATCGGCCCAAACTCCCTCACCTCCACAGTCACAAACTTTCATCTCTCCATCGACAACTCCACCCTCTCCCCCTCCTCCCACTGTCGCAACCTTGGCATTCTCTTCGACAGCAACCTCTCCTTCACCCACCACATAAAGCAAATCACTAAAACAGCCTACTTCCACCTCAAAAACATCGCCCGCCTCCGCCCCTCCCTCTCCTACCCTGCAGCTGAAACCCTTATACATGCATTCATTTCATCTCGTCTAGATTACTGTAACAGTCTCCTCTATGGCACCACCTCCACTCTCCTCAATAAACTTCAGCTTATCCAGAACTCTGCCGCCCGCCTCCTCACCCACACACGCTCCCATCAACACATCACCCCCCGTCCTCCAAAACCTTCACTGGCTCCCCATCCCCCATCGCGTTCAATACAAAATCCTCCTCCTCACCCACAAAGCACTCAACAACCTCGCCCCCCCCTACCTACAGGATCTTCTCCACCCCTACATCCCCTCCCGCAACCTCCGCTCCGCCAATGCCAACCTCCTCACAGTTCCCCTGACCAAGCACCGAACCTGGGGGGACAGAGCCTTCTCAGTCGCCGCCCCCACCCTCTCGAACTCACTCCCACTCGAACTCAGAAACTGCACTGACCTCACCAGATTCAAGACCCTTCTCAAAACCCACCTCTTCCGCACTGCCTTTCATCCTTCCTAGCCCCCCCCCATTGGATTTTACCTGACTCTACATGTTTTTATTGATATTGTCGTAAATTTTCTTACTTATTGATGTGTGTTTTATTGTAATTTGGATTTTACCTTATTCTACATGTTTTTATTATATTGCTGCAAATTTTATTGCTTATTGATGTGTGTTTATTGCTTAACTCTGTACAGCGTCTTTGTGTTTTTTAAAAGCGCTTTACAAATAAAATGTATTATTATTATAATTTGTTTTTTTGCCTAGCTAAAGACCACACAGAGAACACCAATTCCCATAATTCTTTCACTGTTCCATTACTTCCCGCAATTTGGACAAGCATATTTTGAGACGAGACTGGAGAAAAGGCCATATGAAAAAATAACAAAGGGGATTATTTATTTCTTAACACAGCCGATGAATGCGCAACGTGACTGCAGCTGTCATCGTTATCCACAGTTAGCTTGCTGTTGCTATGCTAGCTAGTGATGTTGTCAGCACCCGACAACAGTTTATCACTGAGTGATAGATAAGTTATGCTGCTAACTTAACATTAGTGAAGGAGATAGGTCTCAATGAACCATATGTGTTAGGTGCAGGTTAGTGGATAAATCATGAGGATTTATGAACTGACCAAGACACCAAGTCTCTGTTTCTGGGAGAGCCTGAAATCCTACAAGACACTGGATGCCTACAGCTATGTTACAGACAGTCATGATCGGGACATACTGTTACACAATATAACAAATGTTTTGAGTGTTATGAACTATCATGCTGGTTTAGTTGGTTTATTTGAATTAATAGCAGCAGATGAGGTGAGAAGAGTTTTTAAGTTTAGTTTCAAATGGGTTGCAAATCAGTTGGATTCTCTCTGACAAACACATTTATCTTTTTCTGTTAGTAAATGAAAATTTTATATTTTACATTGGCATTATACATATGTTGTTTCCAAAGGCCAATTAAACAAAATGTTTCTTAAAACACGTTTGGATTTTATTTACTTTGCAATATGTACAGTGTGTCCTTTGCCAGTCACACAACCTGTCTCTTTAAATAGACATGTTTTATATTGTGCCACAAGTTTTTGTCTCACTCAACAAGATCGTCAACCTCTGTAGCACCAGTGCCATGGAAAAAAAAAGTCAACGTACAGCCCTGTTTGGTGCTATTTTATGAAATCACTATCAAAAATTGTTAGAGAGATCTTGCTGAACATTCTCCCCATGAAATAATGCTTCCAATAAAATGTAAAAAAAAACCAACATAAAATTAATAATACATAATAAATTAATTAATATAAAAATAAAAACTTACAATACAGCACTGAGTCCTGCCACATCCAGAAATACTCAGATGACACTGCTATCGTGGCATGAATCAGAAATGGACAAGAAGCTGAATACAGAGATCTGATAAGAGCCTTCAGTGACTGGAGTCACAAAAACTGCCTCCTCCTCAACGCCTCAAACACAAAGGAGAGGTGGTGACATCATATAAATACCTTGTTGTATATCTGGATAATAAGTTGGACTGGTATAAGGATATAGACTTCATCTACAGAAAGGGGCAGAGCCACCTCTTTTGCCTGAGAAGACTCAGATCAACAGACATCTGCAGTAAGATGCTGCAGATGTTTTATCAGTCTGTGGTGGAGAGTGTTCTGTTCTACGCTGCAGTCTGCCAGGGAGGAAGCATCAAACACAAAGATGCAAAACATCCGAACAAACTGATTAAAAAAAGGCTGGCTCTGTGGTTGGATTCAAGCTGGACTCAGTGGAGGATGTGGTGGAGAGATCTACACTGAGGAAGGTGGAGGCTATTCTAAAGAACATGGATCACCCACTTTATAACACCTTGATGGACCAAAGGGCCAATAGTGGTGGACAGCTCCTCTCTCTTTGCTGCAAGACAGAAAGATTCAGGAGATCTTTTGTGCCCACAGCCATCAGACTTTACAACTCTTCTGTAAACAGTAGATGATTGTAGATGACCTGAGACATGACACACAAGACTACAGAGAATTGAATTTCCCTTCGGGGATCAATAAAGTACTTCTCCTTCTCCTTCTTCTTCATCAATACAGAATCATAACGACACTACTACTCTCTACATTTGCACTGTCTATGTGTAGGAAACATGTATCGATACTCTTTTCTTTTTCACTCATTTGTTAATCATGTGAATACGTTCAGTTACTCTTTGCAAAGCGAAAATCCTTCTCTAAGAGGTTACAGAGGATTAAAACTTTACAGTCGAGAAGTTGCTGAGTACAAACTGAAAGCCAGAACCACAACAGCAGCCCTGTGCTTTGCTGTTGAGTGATTTCTTTAATTCTTGATGTTTTATTTTGTTGGTTTATCAGTAAGCTCAATTCACCTTTTATATATTAAAAAAAACTCTCCACAGAGGGCCTTATGGAAGTGAACATGACAGAGATCCCTTTGGAGGAGAAAGAACTGAAGTTCTCCACGTTTTACGACATTGAGTTTGGAGGCCATTGGAAACCAAAGGACTGCAAACCTCGCTGGAGGGTCTGTTTGTGCATTTTTATGTATTATAAGTCCTATAAAAAATAAGCCTGATAAAAATAAACAAATGTCAGTTACTCCTCTGAGGAAAAAAAAGACAATCATAGCAGCCAGAAAAATTTAGAAGGTTTCTGGATTCTTAACCTTTTGTTGTTCTTTAGGTGGCCATCTTGATTCCATTTAGAAACCGCCATGAACATCTCCCCATCCTCTTCCAACACCTCACCCCCATGCTGCAGAGACAACGGCTGCAGTTTGCCTTCTACGTCATAGAACAGGTACAGTATTTAGTGCATGTGCTGAAGTTTGGTCTCTATTTAAGTCCAGCATTCAGATGAAGGAAACTGTCCTGCTAAACTGAACACATGCTGTGTGGGAGTTTTAGGAAAGTTGATAAATCATGAAGTATTTGGAGCCAGACCCAGATTTTTAACCCCGCAGTATTCTTTATATTACAGCATCCATATTTCCAGCACAAAGCAGTTGACCTTGTGAATTTTTTTGATTGTGTGCTTCCATGTTTAGAGTGGGAGCCAGCCCTTCAACAGAGCCATGCTGTTTAATGTGGGGTTCATGGAGGCTATGAAAGATATAGACTGGGACTGCTTGATCTTCCATGATGTCGACCACATCCCTGAAAATGATCGTAACTACTACGGCTGTGGTCAGATGCCACGCCATTTCGCTGCCAAGTTGGATAAATACATGTACATGTAAGTGTGGTTGCAAAATAAGGGTAGTTTTATGTTTATTTAGAATGAACAAAAATAAACATGATGATGTAGATTTGATATTGAAATATTTATGGATTGTTATTTGTCATAACTTCTTCAGCAATAACAGGTCGGCCGAACTAGTGTTTCTCTAACTTTTTTCAATCAAGGCACCTTTCAAAGTGCAGAAAATCTCACGGCACCCTGGTGTAAAATATAATAACAAATGACACTGCAGCTTAAATGTAAATGCAATTCTCCTGTTTATTTAGACAGGACAGTATTGATGGACAGGGCATAACACTGAAAATGCACCAGAGATAAGCAGGAATGTTTCTTTCTATCCATAGTGCTGGTTTCCTTTCATGCCTCTGTAGCCTGTCCTACACTTATGCACACACAAATGCACACACAGAAAAATCTGCAAAGAGAAAGGAAGAGAGTTGGGCCTATATGTGCACAGTGCGCAGGCAAGTGCTCAAACTCAGTAACATCTACTTTTACAACCTTTGGTGCAGACCCAGAACTGGTGGACGAAGGCTGACATAAAGTAGTAGGCTGAGGCTTCATTTCTCAGTCAGTGGTATTTGGTTCTTGTAAGTCTTTAATTTTTAGAAAATGATCCATGATGCTTTTGCTTGTTCCTTGCTCTTTGTGAAATCAAGTGTATTTTTGGAGTTAGATGATAAAACGATGTGCTGCATACAGGCCTTGCGCTGGGCCTGTGGGCTGGACTTTCGACGCTGTGACACATTATTGACAATGGGCATGTTTTGATGATAAATTTTGTGTATCTGTCCATCACAAATGAATTTACCTATTTATTCATGTGTAAAAGGAATGTATTTATGCATTTATTCATATATTTCTATATGAAATGTCAGAATAGATCATTTTTTTACAGCACCCCTGATACATTCAAATGGCACCCCAGGGTGCCGCGGCACCCACTTTAAGAAAGGCTGGACTACACGGTCAAAATGAACATAGTACATTTTCAGGCACACAATGGATGACCCAGATCACACGTTCATGTCTGACGTATGTTTGTTGTTGGTTGCAGACTTCCATACAGTGAGTTCTTTGGTGGTGTTAGTGGACTCACTGTGGAGCAGTTTCGCAAAATTAATGGCTTTCCCAATGCATTCTGGGGCTGGGGAGGGGAAGATGATGACTTGTGGAACAGGTTTGTCAAAAACATCAATTTTACATAAATTCAGAAACTGTTCAAAATATAAATTATATTCACTTTGTCCCTAACTTCACTGAAATGATTTTTTTTTCTCGTCAGAATAAATCATTCAATTCATTCTTATGTCGTAATTTATGGTGAAAGTATCTTCAGAAATATATGGCAAAACCACAATGTATCAAAATGATCGATTGAATTGAATAATTGAATTTTCTGCGCTTAAATTTTGGCTACAGATATTTCACCAAATCCTTCATTTTTTATGTAACTTAACTTATTTATAGGGGACCTGCCATCAAAATGTAATTTTGTGTGTTTTTTGTGTCAGATAAGGTCCATATTATGTTCGTCTTATGTTGTAAATGTGAAAACAAACCGTTACATCGTTTGCATCCTATAAAGGTTTAAAATAAAGGAACAGGTAAACCAGGCCAATTGAAAAAGCAGGTCCCTCTGACGTCAAGCTGACCTTGCTCATTATTATTCACAAGTGCGTCCTCTGTGAGCCGCGCCCACTCTCTCGTTCTCGTACTCATTCACAGTCAACATCACTCTCCAGCCAGAGTGAGACCCAGCTACCACTGTATCTGCTATGGGTCTCTTCCAAATGACCGGTGTTTCCTTGGGTTCACTGCCGGGAAAATGAACTTAAAGCTGGGCAGAATGAATGAGAAAACACCGCTGGAGATCTCTGGCTTCTTCTTCAACTTCCACCTCCTCTTCGGACTCGGGGTCTAAAATATATGGTTTAATACCTGCCATTTTTAGCCTTTAGCATAAGGTGACCAGACGTCCCCGATTTCCGGGGACAGTCCCCGAATTAGATGACCTGTCCCCGGCAAAAGCTGTCCCAGAAAATGTCCCTGATTTAAGCGTTTCATGAATGAGAGCAAAAATGTTGCGTGTGGGCTCGAACAACGGTAATTACAGTAGCCGAATGGGTAGGAAGCACAAGTAAGCAGTCCTGAACAACAGTTTTTACGGGGGTTATTACAAGGGGCATGCACTGCTACTAAATAGTACCAAGATTTTGTCTGTGATCACACAGCCCCTGCACCCGCCGTCGCTGCCGCACCAAATATCCCCGGATAGCATTACAGACATCTGGGCACCCTACTTTAGCACACATAAGCAAAATGGATAAACCGGAATCCGAACCTCCACTGATGAGCCAATCAGAGGACAGCAGGCTTCACAGCAGCGATCCAATCAGAGCAAAGCAAATTACCATAAATGTTAATGAGCCAAAATCAGTTGGTTTTCCTGTAAGGTTTTTTAGGCATACTAAAACAAACCATCAAATAACTTTTCAGCCAAAATTATGTTGCAAACATGATCAGAGGACATCAAGGATTATGAAAAAATGATGAAAATGGGTATGAAATTTTGATGGCAGGTCCCCTTTAATCAAATGAGAGAAAAAGAAGTTTACTCTCTTCAGCCACATTTGACTCTTGAAGGGAGTAGGAGTAAGCAAAGAATGACTTCAGTAGGTGACTTAAGTAGTGTCCCAAAGTAATTGTAAATTTGAGCATGATACCAAATAACTGGACAACTTACTGGGTCAGAAGTCTTCATTCATCTTTCAGTGGCTCAGTGTCCTTCATATGGCTTTTTATAGGCACCTTATATCTTGAATAGGTTAGTAATCTGCTACTTACTACTGCCACCACTCAATAAGTCAGTGTACCTGTCCTAACCAGAGGTGCTCCTCATAATGCGCTGATCATTGAGCAGAAAGGCCATGATTGGATTTAAGTCTGTTTAGTCTGTCGCTCAGGACCCTTACTTATGAACATTGTCTGTGCGCAGTGAATAAATACAGAGAAATGTGACTCATTTCATGACCTGAGACATATTTTCTTGCATATGTTTCATAGATTTAGTGTTCTCAGTACCAAATCTGCTGCCATTGTGGCAGCAGAATTATTGTGATGTGTGATATGATGAAGTTCTGTCTCATTAAAAAAAATCTTATGATAATGCATGTTGGGAAATAACAGCTTAATCAGCATTATTGTCTGAAAAAAGTTTCAAAACTCACTTTTGTACATTCAGTTGTAAACAAATATGTAACTAACATACCTCAACAAAGAATTCTTCATTATTTTGTGATCAGGATGCTTGAAACTGTTCACACTTGTCAGAGTTTCAGTTCATTTGAATCACATGAAAAATGCTCCTGATGGTTTCATGCACTAAATAAAAATTCTAAATGGTTATTCCTCAGGGTTCACTACGCTGGTCTGAATGTTACACGACCAGAGGGAGAGATCGGCAAGTACAAGTCTATTCCTCACCACCACAGAGGAGAGGTGCAGTTCCTCGGGAGGTAAGACCCAGGACTAGCAAACAAAATCTTTATTCTAAAAATGCAAAGAACTAAGAAATTGCTTGACTTGGTTATTACATTCACTTCACCTTTGTCACCTACACACTACTAGATTACTATTTATAACAGTCCAGAGGACTGTAATTCAGTATTCCCACAACAATAAATACTGCACAGTGTTTCCCCTTGCTTTTTGATGAAGACATACATCACCCCTTATGATGTATATCTACGTCAGCCATAGATGAGCCAGCGCTGTTTTCAGAGCTGGGAGAGATGCTTACCTAGCATCCACAAGAGAATGTGCGGCGTCCGCATCACTACGTACCGTCTTTTTTTTTAAGAATGCAGATATTTTATATTTGGGTGCTGAACGTTCGGGGACAGTTTGTGCTCCATGACCAGCTTTTGTAATTGTTTTGGCGGCGGCAAACGTGATGGAAAGGAGCCAGAGGCCCCGGGTTGTCAAAACCATGTCAAAACTTGCAGGGTATGAGCGGCAAGCACTCGCAACGAGAATACCAGAATCAGTGGGCATAGCCTCTGAACTGCGCGGCGCAGCGTGTCAGCACATGTGTATATTGTGAGATAGGCAGATGAGAGGAGAGATACATTTTTCTTGAAAGTCATGAAGCGATTGCAAGCTTTAGAGTCTGAAATTGCTAATTTATATTTTATAGGCTGTTTTGATAAAAATTAAATGTATATATTAATCTATCACTTCAATTTCTGGCTTGGGGTCTTGTTGGCAGGGCGGGGCACCCTGCCAAATGACACTATAGGGAAACACTGCTGTAAACAAATGTATCATACTCATAGAAAATTTCTTAAGATGATGCCCCTTTAATTTTGAGCATTAGATCTGTATTTTAAGTAGTCATTGTAAAAGTTACTCATAGATGATCTTTCTGGGGGAACTGGTACTGCAGATACCAGAGTTTATCAGGGTACTCAGAGTTGTGTGACTGTGTGTTTTGTAGGTACAAACTGCTGAGGTACTCAAAGGAGCGACAACACTTAGATGGCCTCAACAACCTCCATTACACGCCCAAGATTTCCCTCAGTAACCTCTACAAGAACATCACAGTGGACCTGTATCCTGAGCTCGCCCCTATCACAGACTACTGAACTGCCCCCACCAACCCCAACCCAATCCCTGGTCCACACCCCTAGCTCCCCTCCGGCCTTGCTTTCTTGGGCCTGTTCAGCCACTAAGGCAGTGCAGCAGTGTAGTGGAGGAGAGGAGGGGAGCACCAGGCTGGGAGAGCTGAAGAAGTGCACCATGTAACGCGGCCAAGAAATCTTTGTGAGGAAAAAAAAAAAAGAAAAACAAAGCAAAAAAAAAAAAAAAAAGGAAAAAATGAAGAGGCAGCGAAAAGTCTCTCAAAGTAAACTGTTGATTGTGTGTTTGTGTGTGCGTGCGTGTGTGTTTGCGTTTGTGTGTGGTTGTGTGTATATGCGTGTATGTATGCTGGATGGGTGAGTTGCTGCATGTCTTTTTCTCTGTGCCGGCTTAATTACTACAAGTTGACATGAGTCTTGGTTTAGGCTGGGGGGAGCAGCAGCATCTCAGCGCTGATGTTTACTGCAAAGCCTTAATGTGGCAGAACCACAGCTCCCTCTGCTCGGCTCCGCACTGCTTCACTTCTGATGTATCACCGTCACCTTACAAGCCAACAGACAAGATCTTGTCTCACTTTTTACTACCATTTGTTTTCTACATATCATTTTGTTGGGCCACAGTATTCCTTTAAAAGGAGGGATCTGGGTGAGGTTGTCACTGATGTTTGTAATATTTTTTTATTTAGATACGTGGTATTTATTTTCTCTGAGTCAGGGTGTTTGAAAAAGCACTCCTGTCTGCGTCACTCAAGTGTTTGCTGTTTGTTTTGCTGCACTGCTGCTGAATACGCATGAACATGTATGTAAATATTGGCCTCTTAAAGCTCAAACACAGAACACAAATATGTAAATATGGGCCTTTAGAGCTCGGGCATATTACAGTGATATTCCAGTGGGTTTGAATTTTATTTTGGCAGCTACCTTTGTTCTGAGGATTTAATAAGAGTGAGTGTATTCTTTCTAACAGGAAGATCTTCTAACATATAGGATGTTTGGCTTTAAAAAAAAAAAAGTATCCAAATCTCAAGATTTGACATTGTCCTTTTGCATGCCTTAATTTATTTTGCTTACCAGGTTTTGTTATTTTCAAAACATAAATTATTTCATCATTTGGAGACATGTATGTTTTTAATTTTGCCTTTTTTTTTTTTTTTTTGAGGTGCACTGGGTGAATATAGAGCTGCTCTTCAGAAGGAGGGGTCGAGATGTGAGTCTCTCCTCTGTGACTTTGTACAGGGAGCAGGGTTGGCCATTATAGCAAAAATATGTCCATGTAACATGCTTTGGTGCAGGTTTTTGGTCATACCTAAGTGTATATTTTCTGTCCAAGATGTAATTTTATTTTCTATAATTTTATTCAAAGAATTTAGTGCTGGACCATATGAAAAAGCTCTTCATTGTACTGTACTGTACTGTGCTCTGTAGCACAAGGGTTTGGGCTGGATGCTGTGTGTGTGTGTGTGTGTGTGTGTGTGTGTGTGTGTGTGTGTGTGTGTGTGTGTGTGTGTGTGTGTGTGTGTGTGTGTGTGTGTGTGTGTGTGTGTGTGTGTGTGTGTGTGTGTGTGTGTGTGTGTGTGTGTGCGTGCGTCTTGATTGTGGTGTCATTTTCTAAGCTATTGAGGCAGTCAGAAGGGCCATAATGAGAGAAATACAGTATCAGCTTGTCTGGGCTGAAGTTTCTGTTCTTGAATGGCACCGCTGAGAAACGTTTAATTTCTTACAGCTTTGCGTACTAAAAGGAAGGAGAGAACCATAAAGGCAGATTATTTTTTAGTAGATTTTCACAGTCAAGATTCTCCTTTATAAATCTAGTTTGAATTTGACTTTGAATTGTATGTTTTGAAGATTTCTTTTCCGTTTATTATTAATTTGACATACAGTATGTACATTGAACCAGAACTCGGGCCATTTTTGACCTAGGTCTCATTTCCTATCTTATTAGTCTTTTGAATTATGTTAAATGCTCTCTGATGAGGCTCTAACTCTCATATGTCCTGTGATTTTGGTCTTTGGTTGTCTGTACAGACTTTTGAGTAACATCCCTCATTGTTAATGCATCAACTCAGGATGATTCAGATCATCTGGTAATCAAAAACACAAAACCATCGTCAATAAAGCAGTAAATCAAAATAAGACAAAAATTGAGACATAGTCCAGTTGTACTGACACCATATAAGCAGTCTATGACTCCATGCTGTCAGAGCTATTCTTTTTTAAATTTTTTTATTTTTTTAGCCTGTGAACATATGAAACACGACTCAGTATATGGTCCATCTAATATGTGTTGCCCAATTTTTGTCATCATATCAAATGATCTTCATAAGCAAACATTATGGGTTTTTGTGAAAATGGGGAAGAATACTTGAGATAACACAGATCTTTTGATGAAGATCATGGAAAATGATGGAAAGCTTTGAAGAAAGAATGGAGTGCATTAGACTGCTCACATAAAAAATAAAAATCAAAACCTAGAAATTAAAATAAATCTACATTTATAAAAAGTGACAGCAGAAAGATAATGCTGAGGGTGATTTATTTTTTAGCAGAACATAACTTATTTCAGATATATACTTGATTAAGAAATGACCTGAACTCTTACAGATTGTAAAAAAAATCTGTCAAGTATTGGTGAAAAACAAAACCATTTTGTCTTTTTTGAACTCTGTGAAATTGCCCCTTTAATGGCCAATAAGTTTATAGAAAAAGGTGGGGCTATATTTCAATGTAAAAATACCTGTAATTGTAGCCTCTGATACATGATTAATCAGTACTGATTAAGACACTAATGTTGACCCAGACAGTATACCAGACCTGTCATATGTATCAAATGCTACATGGCTGCTATCAAACAGTTTGCAGCCATATTTTTCTCCATGTGTCTCTACAAAGAGCATGTTTTATTTCAAGTGGTCAAATCACTGTGCAATAAGATGTGTTTACCAGTAGCCTCAAAATATCAGTGTTAACTTCTAATCAGTTTTCACAAGGAGGCCTCAATGGCACTAAAACAACTTTTCTGCATGCTGTTTATATTTGGAGTAGCACCTGGAAAATCCTGACACCAAAGCAGTCTGTAAGACTGTTTTGAATAACAAAAGATAAGAGACTCAGCAAAATAAGTTTTACGTTTGAAATGGCCAGAGTGATATTTCTTATTTAATATCAACAGTTTCTTAGCTTTCTATTTCAGTCTGTACACCAAGAGGTCTCAACATAAACACAACAAGGACTATTCTTAAGCCCCACCCAGCCTCCTTCCTCCAAAAAACATCAGTGATGCCCTTTGTCTGTTTACAGAGTTATTTTCTTATTTATTTATTTTTTATTTTTTTCTAAAGAAAAAAAAAAAAAATCAGAAATGACATGACCGTAGGCTACAATCCAGTCTGGCTTGTGTTCAGGCACAAAGCTTTAATACTCAATAGCATGTTTCTCAGATTACAGAGGAGCACAATTCTCCATCACTCTGATGTGCTAAGTCTCTTTTTTTCTGGTGAATAGGGGACTTGAAAAGTATGGGTTTAGAGGGCGATCCTTGTGTCCTTTGCCTTTCTTAGCTTAGTGGGACTTTTTTTTTCTGCATAAGAGAAGAAGTCATCCCTGTTTATAGATCACTGGCTGTGTAGCAGAAAGTGTTGTTGAGAGGAGGTTCTTGTAGCCTGGCTACTTACTTCATACTCTTCTCTCAATCATACTCTTCTCTTTATGACTCTTCAGCTTGATAGAGTGTGACACAGTGCAATATAGTCACTTTCACTCTGCCATACTGGTCTGTTGCATCCAATTCAGCAGTAATGCCTTAATTATTAATTACTGCTTGTCATGAAGTATCAACTATCCAATTAAAAGCTTATATTGCCATGAGGGACTAGAGCAGGCTGTCCTGTAAAGTGGTTTTAAACTTTTTTTTTGTCATTCAGCCACCACCAGACCCATGTCTCTTAACACTCTGAAGAGCATGAACCGCATGTTACCTCCCACCTTAACAGATGTTACTGCTGTGCCAATGATATTCAACCAGAACAGAAGTTTTATCTGCTTCTGTTCTGGTTGACCTTAATGCCCACGAAAAAAAAAGAACTGAAATTACACACTTTAGGCTGTATTATCCAATCCAAACTTTAAGAGGTGTGACTTTTGCCCCTGTTTCATAATCCAAAAATAATTTCAATAGTTTTCAAGTCAGAATTTCTCAACTTGACCTTGGGGACAGAAAGAGCAATAGAATAAAGGCACAGAGTTGAAAAATACAGAACCAACATCTGCCAAAATGCAGATACAGTGTCTTAAGTATCCTCTGTGCCTGGCAGATGGAGATTCCCAGCGTACAATAGAAACTGTTATTTAGATGTTCTCTTCAAGCCCAAGACAAAGTTAATATAATGCCAACAGCTACCACAAGAAATGGACTAATGTGAATAACAGTAATCTGTGAATATATTTTTTCCTTGAAAACTGCAGCAGTCCTACATGAAGCAGGTCAGTCAAGAGTCAGTTGTGATTAAAAGCAGGTTTCTTTTATACCTCTCTAAATACTTAGCATCGAAAGCTAACATGCATACAAGTAAGAAAAGTGTCTTTTTCAGCAGGTTTAGGTAGAAAGGAGATGATGTTTTTGGGCCATCAGCATGTAGCGCTTTAGACCTTCTTTTCTCATGGATCTGCTTAGTATCTACTGTAGTTTGTATGGCCAAAGCCAAAACTCTGGTCCAACTGCCAAATACTATGAGCTGAAAAGTAACCTGTCTTGGATATTTTGTATTTGTATCTGTACTTGCCTCTGACAGATGTTGTCTATCTGGCTAATGGATACCAGTATTAGCTGAGGTTTTCACCAATCCCTCTCCCCTGAAATCTACAAGTATCTGATTGGTCATATGAAGTGTTTATCAATAGACATCTGTGTTCCATTTTGCAGTATTTTTGTTTGTGCCTTGAGTTTTTTTTATCTCTTACATTCATACTAAAGAGATTAAAAATGTTCCTGTTTTCATGACTTGTCAGTGTTTTTACCTCCATGTTATTCACATCAGGCTAAGTGTAAAATGTGTTCATAAACCAGAAAAATCTGATGAAACATTTACCGTAGTACGTTCATTCCAGTGTTAGCGCTGCCTTGATATCCTGTGTAATAACCACTGTGACTACCTGTGGGTCATGTTCAACAAAAGGTGTGCGCTCATGCTTGTGAGTCTTCATTATTATATGTATGTCACTTTACATTTCAAATTTGACCTAATTTGCTTAGCAGTTTATACAAACAAAACTTCACCTTTCTTTAACAGAAGCATATACAGTATCCTTTTACCACCTTTGAATCTGTTATAACCAATCCACCCTTAATCTGCTTAAGAGCCTTGAATCTGCATGGTCCAGCCTTCAATTTCTCAAGGGTATAATAATGTGATTTAAATCCAATCTCCAAATTCATGATGACCACTGCAGGTACACAGAGGCTTTTACTTTTGTGAACAGTTTTGCAGACAGCTTTTCACTGGTCAGTAGTTCTAGAGCAGCATTATGTACTGATATGTAACTGTTTTAAGACATTTTATCACAGCTCTGATGTGTTTCATTGTTCAGCATTACTCTGGTGATATCTTAATTATCCCATGTAACACAGATACTGTGGACTTATAGGACAATGCTTTCTCACCAGTATTGCTGTGTACTGCAGCCAACAAGGATGTTCTTTACAGAGAGGGTATTAAACATTTTTTTTTTTTCAGACTATCTAGCTGAAACAGTGTTAAAAAGTTAAAATGTTGACTCTAAAATATTTCACTCATTAACCAAGATTTATGATGGATGATTGCTCAGATGTGGTTTTGATATTTTTGTCACAGCCGAGTATTGATGTTGGTGTCTCCTGTTCCGAGTAAGACCGAAATCGCCCAAAGAAAGGAGCTGATGACAATCAAGAGATGTGACAGAGCCACTGAAAGTGGCCAATAATCTAACCTTTGGCCAAGCATTTGTTTTTGTCGAATTGCTATTTTCAAGACCAGTATTGAAGTCCCAGTTCATGTTTAGGAAAGATCTGTATTATAAGATTATTTAGGGATGTTGGCAGCTGCCAAGTTCAACTCTTACAAAAGACAAAGCCTCCTGGTTGTCATAAACAGCGCTAGTGATCGTACTGGTTGGTTTGGGCTTGTTGGGTGTAGGAAAACAGAAACATTTAAAAGTCATGATGATAATCCGTGAAGCAAGATCGAAACCCCTCCTTGTAGCTGTCTGCTGACTCAATCTGTGCATTTAGTCACCAAGTCTTTCATCTCTGTATCAGTTCAGGTTGAAGAACAGAGTTTCACACTGAGCCAACCCTGTGAACATGTTAATGTAGCACCATCTATATACATGCTTGCTTCCTTCACTTCAGTCCTGTCCTTCCTCTTGCTGGCTCAGAAGCATGTGCTGGAGGCCTTCCCCTTTCAGAAATCACCACAGTTTTGACATGATGAAGTAAGCTCCATTGTAACAAAGTCTGAGAAGAGACAAAAAGAAAAAAACAAACAAACAAACAAACAAACAAAAAAAAACGACTGAGTCTGGTGTTGAATTGTTGATTTGTAAAGTTCATTTCATTTACTTACTTTGTCAACAGAAGACAAATAAACACTTCATTGCCATATTCTGGAAAACAGACACCATGTTTCTCTCTTTTATTCTGAGCACTCACAAATATGGATGTGTAGTCAATACAGCTTATACATAAGATAAAACTGATGTGTATAATTAAATGGCCCAGCCTAATCCCTTCTTTCAAGATCTTTTGTATTTGTTGTCAGCAAAGTGGAGAGGCACTTAGATTAATTACTGGTTTGCACCACTATTTTGAAACCTTAACATGCATGAAATAGAGACATAATTCAGGAAGCAAAATGTTACACTTTTGCTAATAACCAATTTTGCCAATAATGAGTACGCCTATGTTTTTAATAGTTAGGAACACTTAGTCTCTTCCCTAGAAACACTTTACCAGCAGCTTTTGTGTGAGAGACTGTTTAGAGACCAACGCAAAACAAAAAACACTACATTATGACAACAATATAGACACTATGAAATATGGTTGCTTCTAGACACCTCAGCTTCATTGAATGACTGTTGTCCAGGCTGCTGACAGTTTTTTGCTAGTACTGACAATTCTCTCAGTCCTTTCAGAAACACTAAGTGCTTTTCAGGATGACAGATCATGAAATACAACATTGAATTGGTAACACAAAGTCAAGGTAATGATTTTCCCCTCCATCTTTATGCTTTGCAAGCATTACACTTAGCTGTTTTGCTCACTGTTTACAAAGCTCCAAAATGCTACCATAGAATTGACAGATTGAAGCTTGCTGACATGTGTAAGCTGTCATTGTTGTCAATGTAACACCTCAAGAGTGGCTAAAGTTTACATATCAGCTGGTTACAATACATCTATTGGTCTATCTCAAAGCTCCTGTGTCAAAATTGTGACGGCAATTAAATAGGCTGAGACAATTGGAGCCTTATTATGATTACGTCATCAATATGGCGCCCGGAGTAGGCGCCCTGGTGTTTTGGTGCTCGTTGTTTTGTCTGTTATCGTGCTCCTTCACCCGCGAGGAGCTTCTAAACATCAGATCAACAACACTCACGGACATTACACCAGTTTTTTTGGCATCTGCTGCTGAACTGGTCTACTTTTTGGCCAAAAGAGTGAGGCGAAGGGGAAAGCGAGCTGGGGTGCTCGCGCGCCTCAGACAGCGAGGCACGCGTACGCCCTTACCTGGGATATTCCTCTCCAATGTCCACTCACTCAGCAACAAGATGGATGAGCTAGCACTGCTGATGAAGAAGAATAGAGACTTCTACTCTTCTTGTGTTTTGTGCTTCACCGAGACATGGCTAAATGCACAGACATCGGACTGCGCCATACAGCTGGAGGGTTTTCAGCTCCTCTGTGCAGACAGAGATTGTGTACTCTCCGGTGGGAAAACGAAAGGTGGAGGAGTCTGCTTCTACATCAACAATGCCTGGTGCGCCGACGTGACAGTGATCTCCCAACACTGTTCTTCTCTGGAATATCTCTTCATAAACTGCAAACCGTTCTACTCTCCACGTGAGTTTGTCTTATTCATACTCTGCTCCGTTTACATTTTACTGAGTGCGGACGTGCACGAGGCCGAGCGCACGCTTGCAGAGCAGGTTATGAGCGTAGAGAGGAATTTTCTGGACTCCTTTGTCATAATCCTCGGTAATTTTAACAAAGGAAATCTCAGTCAGGAACTACCAAAATACAAACAGTTTGTAACATGCCCGACCAGAGAGGGGAACACATTAGATCACTGTTACACTACTGTGAGTGGTGCCTATCGCGCTGTGGCTCGTGCAGCTTTGGGACTCTCAGATCACGCCATGGTTCACCTGGTCCCTGCGTACAGACAGAGACTAAAACTCAGTAAACCTGTAGTGAGGACATCCTAAGTGTGGACCAGTGAAGCTGTGGAGGAGCTACGCATGTGCTTGGACACCACGGACTGGGATATGTTTAAGGCATCTACAGACAGTTTAGACAGTTTATTACACAGACACTGTAAAGTCATATGTTCATTTCTGTGAAGACAGCATCATCCCACAGCGTGCCAGGGTGAAATACGACAATAACAAGCCCTGGTTTACATCAAAACTCCGGCAGCTCTTTCAGCAGAAAGAGGTGGCTTTCAAGGAAGGTGACAGAGACTGCTACAAAAGTGCCAAGTACAGTTTTAGCAAGGAGGTGGCAAAGGCAAAAACCAGGTACAACGCACGTCTGGAGCAAAGATTCTCTGCCAACGACCCTGCCGGACTGTGTCTCTCCTGCCACTCTAAGACACTGCGCTGATGAGCTAGCTCCAGTCTTCAAGGGGATCTTCAACACCTCCCTGGAGTCATGCCATGTTCCAGCCTGTTTCAAGTCCTCCATCATTGTTCCCGTCCCCAAGAAACCCAGCATAACTGGACTCAATGACTACAGGCCGGTGGCTTATACGTCTGTAATCATGAAGACCTTTGAACGCCTGGTTTTATCCTACCTGAAGTCCATCACCGACCCCCTCCTGGACCCTCTGCAGTTTGCCTACAGAGCCAACAGGTCTGGAGACGACGCCATAAACATGGCCCTGCATTTCATCCTGCAGCCCCTGGACTCCTCAGGATCCTATGCTAGGATCCTGTTTGTGGACTTCAGCTCTGCATTCAACACCATCCTTCCGGTTTTGCTCCAGATCAAGCTTTCCCTGCTCCATGTGCCTGACTCCACCTGCAGGTGGATCACAGACTTCCTGACAGACCGGAGTCAGTGTGTGTGGCTGGGGAAGAATGTCTCGGACACCCGGGCTCTCAGCACAGGATCTCCACAGGGCTGTGTACTTTCCCCTCTGCTCTTCTCCCTGTACACCAACTGCTGCACCTCCAGCCATGATTCCGTTAAGCTCATCAATTTTGCGGATGACACCTCCCTCATCGGACTCATTTCGGATGGAGATGAGTCTGCCTACAGGTTGGAGGTGGACCGGCTGGTGACCTGGTGCAGCAGCAACAACCTAGAGCTCAATGCTCAGGCTGGATATGATCGTGGACTTCAGACCGTGGACTTCAGGAAAGCCACAGCCCCCCTGTCCTCCCTCGACCTCACCGACTCCCCCATCACCACTGTGGACTGCTACCGCTTCCTCGGCACCACCATCCCTCAGGACCTCAAGTGGGAGCCAACCATCAGCTCCCTCATCAAGAAGGCCCAGCAGAGGATGTACTTCCTGCGGCAGCTGAGGAAAGCCAAGCTGCTGGTCCAGCTGATGGTGCAGTTCTACACGGCCATCATCGAGTCCATCCTCAGCTCCTCCATCACGGTGTGGTACGCCGGGGCCACTGCTAGGGACAGACACAGAAAGCAGCCCATTGTGGGCTCTGCTGAGAATGTGATCGGCTGTAGCCTTCGATCTCTCCATGACCTGTACGTCTCCAGGACTCGGGACCGAGCAGGTTGGATCGGAGCTGACCCTTCTCACCCTGCACATGTACTATTTCAGACACTCCCCTTGGGCAGGAGGCTACAGTCCATTCGGACCAGAGCCTCCCACCATAAGAACAGTTTCTTCCCCTCTGCCGTTGGACTCATGAACACCTTATAACTCTGTCACTTTATCACTGGTCACTTTAGTTTAATGTACCTTGGTTTTTTAATCGCACTCCTCCTACTGCACTGTTGTTCTGTATTGTGTAGTTGTACATAGCCTGTTATACCTACTGTATAGCATTGTACATAGTCTTTTATACTTTTACACTTTATATATGTCCTGCATGCTCTTATTATTTTCTATTCTAGTATTTTATATATTATTCTCTGTTTATTGTTGCACCATCACGCCGTAAAAAATTCCTAGTCTGTGAATCCTGTTCATTGACAATGGCAATAAAACCCCTTCTGATTCTGATGTATAGGAAATGAGACCATCAGTAACAAGACAGCCAGTGTTTACATTGTAATTTTTAATGCCTGGAACCAGTGCAAGGGGGTAGGTCTCAGCCGACGAGCTGAAAAGACAGCCCTGTTTTACATTGTCTGAATTTTATTCTCACAATAAATTATATATTTAAGGTAGACACAAATGAAATTTGTAGAGGATAAGATTAGCTAAGACAGCCTTGTCCACAAGGGGGTGCTGTAATTGACAAATCTAAAAGTTTCTCACAGACGCTTTAATAAACCAAGCCCTTAAGTCCAGCTATACATCAGAGGACTTGATGAAGATTTGGAAAAGACTCCTGGAAAACTATAAACTCACACCTGCTCACATCTAAAGACAAGTGTTTAGAGTTTTTAGTCACAGCCTAGTTTCAGACTGAGAATTTTCGAAGACTGTCAGTCTTGCAGGGTTACTATTTACAAGACTACAACGAGATTCTTCAAGCTTTTTTTGACAGTTCAGTGTTTCCCATTGGTGTGGAATCTATCAGTGGTGGTGAGTGATTTAACAGCTGTGTGTTTTCGCATATGGCAAGTCGTATTTATATGATAATTTTTGCCCTCTGTACGATGTACAACCAATAACCCTAAACATGTGGTGCAATGGGACCATCTTAATCTGCCTACACTTTATTTTTAAATTTTTTTAGCAAACCCTAGATAATACTTTAGATAATTAGAAATGGGGCCCAGTCAACGTGAAAGTAAAAACAGACTACCAGCAAACACAATGTTTGCAGGACTTCTACAATTAGGATAAAGTGACATACTGCGGGACCCGAGGTAAACAGTTAAGTGGTGCTACAACACACAGCAGGTCCCATTGGACAATAAACACTTCTGTCACAGACACTTGGCTTACTTTGTTAAAACAGGGCCCACTCAAAGTAAATGTAAATAGCACCAGTGCTAATGTAGCAGCCTGCTGACAGGCTACCTACAAACACAATGTTTTCAGCTCCTCTGCAACTATAACGTGACACATTACAGGACACAATGTAAAATAAACTTAGCGGTTTACCTGTCCAGCAGAAAGGTCACAGGGTCCGAAAGATCTCAAAGCAACCCCCATTGATCAAGCTTCACTGATGTGGACCCGGCTTTTCACCTCTTGTCCGGGTGGTCTATCTCCTTTTTATGCACCCGCTGTCAGGCCAGAGTCTCCAGTATTTACATTGTTTTCTTGCTTGCGTTCACACTAGTGGCCAAAGGAGGATTCAAACATTTTTGTGTACTTTCTGTCTAGTTTCTACTGTCCGATATTGTTGCAGGCTAACTTTGTTTGGGCTCATGGGCTCATGGACGCTGGGCGTGGAGCGTGCTTCACAACCAATCAGCACGAGGAAGCAGGGTCTGCCTCACAACCAACCAGGCTTTGTTTACAGTCAGAATGAGTGGACCGCTCAAAAATTTAAAAATGTTGACTACACAGACATAACAAAACACAGTAATATTGTGATATTACCAAATGTCATCAATAACTAATAGCTATTGACTTCTCTCTCCCACCCTTTCCATCCCTCTCTCACCCTCTCTCTCTCTATCTCCATCTATCCCAGGGGTGTCAAATTTACAGCCCGCCCGCAGGCTAGATTAGGCCCGCGAACAGGTTTAATCCGGCCCACGATATGATTTTGCAAAGCATAAAAATGAGCTGTAATTTTTTCATTAAAACAAACTGCTGAAAAGTGGACGCAGAGGATCACTTGGGGAGGTTTAAGGGGCAACAGGTAGGCGACTGAACCCGGAAGAGCCAACAGGTTTTGACCGCAATGCGCCACATAGCATCATTTAGTTCACTGCCTTTACCAGTTTGTTTTTTTTTTTGTTCTCGGTTCCTTTGTTTGCTGTGAGCTTGGTTTTTTGAACAGCATTTTGTGGCAATAAACCACCAGATGACGCAACGGAAGTAACAGCCTGGACATTCATTCATTCAGCTTAGGTACTGCTTCCATTCATTTATTCATTCCTGTCAGCCAGGGTCACCCAGAGCCAGTTTAGCCTCAGTAGTTCCTGAACAGGTCAGAAACTGCTTTAAAAACTAGTCAAAACCTTGCTAAAAGGAATAGTTTCACGCGTCTGGATCCTCAGCGCACTGGATGAAGAAGCATGAAGAGCCTTCCTTGTGGATTTAATTTTTTTGATTTTTCATTTGTGGGAGTTCATGTTTGATGAGGAAACTAGCTGGAGCGGCCACAAATCAGCTGATGACAACAAGGCGCCCACCGAAAGAGGTATTTGTAGCGCTACACTCTTCAATGGCCATTTAGTATTATTTATTGTGTGTACCCATACCTTGGTCACAGAGCTCACCCGGCGGACATTTGACTGTGGAGAAGCTTTGTTTTGGCGTCTTGGCCATCATTTGGTGTGGCTGGCTTTGTATCGGGACGTTGTCTGTGGACTGGTTGGACAGTTGGACATGGATCGTGAGGGTGATTTGCGGACAGTTGTTAGTAAAGCTAGCACTGGTGCTGACGGTGGCAAGCAGCAGGCCAGGCGTGATGCTGTGCTCGCTGGGAAACTTTCAGCATTACAGGCAGACAGAAAATTAAAGCTGGACAATGCAAGCACCATAAGAAAATCTATGGAAGGGTTAAAAAATTATGTGCCTCAGTTAAAAAATGCGTTGTGTGCTTTGGTTGCATTATGCAATGAGGCAAAACGTATTCATGAGTCACTAAGTGTATTGCCCGGGGATGAAAAAGAAAAAAATGATATTTGGTTTAAGGCAAAAATGATTGCAAATAATGAAGTTATTGGTGAAACAAAGGGCTTTATAATGGGCTTGGAAAATGTTCAAGCTGAGTTTATAATGGTTTCAAATGCTGATGTTCATGCAAATCATATGGGGATGAATGCAGGTGATGAATGTAAAGCTTCATATCAAAATGCTGAGTCTGTGCTTTATGTTCATCAAAATTACAGTGTGTCCAATATAGAAAGCAAACGGTCTCATAAAAGCAGTAGATCTAGCACTAGTTCAGCTCGGAGGGTGGCTGAGGCAGAGTGAGCTGTGCTTATTGCACGGGCAGCAGCCTTAAAGGAGAAACACCAAATTGAGGTGCAGGAACAACAGCTAAGGAGGAGAAGGGAGCAGCTGGACTTGGACGCTGAGTTAGCTGCATCAGAGGCTAAATTAGCTGTGCTGCAGGCCTCAGAAGGCAGTTGCTCAACAGCACCCTCGAACAGCAAGAGCTCAAAACTGCATAAGGAGAAAGTGAACCCGGCTAACCTTAATCCTAATACCGTTGAATATCAACCTGAACAACCACTGCAGACACAGCATGTGTCCACCAGGGAGCCATTACCACCCAGCAACATACTGTCATCAGACGCGTGCAGAATGCAAACAGAATTGTGGTGCATGTGCAACATGGAGAACAATATGGAGAACAACCCTCACAACTGCAGCACAGCGCACAGTATGGTGCACGGCCTCCACAGTTATATGGAATGGTGAATGCAGCACAGCCTATACAGCTGCAGCGTTGAACATCTTATGGAGCACCGCAACAGCATGCACAACCACTTGCCAACAATAATAGCACTCATTCCCCAGATTAACTGGCCATCACCAAAGGCAGAATGATATCACATCGGCTCTGGTTCATCAACAGCGCATATCCTCTTTGCCATCAAGGCAAATACCAGTATTCGATGGGAATTCTCTCCATTCTCGACCATTCATGAGGGCCTTTGAGCAGGGTGTGGAAAGTAAAGCTGTAAGAGGAGATTGCCTTTACTATTTGGAGCAATTCACCAGAGGGCAGCCCCAGGAGTTGGTGCGCAGCTGCCAGCATATGGTGCCCGATCGTGGCTACATAAGAGCTAAAGGCCTCCTCACTGAACATGAAGTAAAGTGCCTGTGCTGTGATCGTCACCACCTGGTGGAGGAATGCAAGCAGTTCAACCATAAGAAACATAAAGAGAAAATCCTGTTTCTGAGACAAAAGGGAGTTTGTTCCGCATGTTTACATACTGGACACATGAGTGAGGACTGCAAGGATCGCCTGACATGTAAAACCTGCGGAAAAACTCATCCAACTATACTCCATATCAAACATCAGCTGACTCAAACCCAGTTAAAGGATTCCCCTGACCACCACCAGTCCTTGAGTCAAACATGTGGGCATACAGGGGCCAGTAGTGACCAATGCTTCTTGTCCATTCTGCCAGTGAAGCTGAAAGCTGCAAAGGGAAGCCACTTTATAACAACTTACACCTTCTTGGATCCCAGCAGTTTAGCTATGTTTTGTGCAGAACATATAATGCAACATCTCAATATCACAGCCAAAATGACCAGTTTCCTGTTGAAGACAATGGGGCAGGAAAAAGTAACTCCAGCTTACACCCTGTCTGGTCTGGAGGTGGTGTAGTTGGATGGTAACAACTTTTATCCCCTGCCTGAAGTGTTTACCCAGAAGGAAATGCCGGTCACTGTGGATAACATGATCACAGCTGAGGATCTGGCAAAGTGGCCCTATTTGTTGAAGGTGCGCATACCAAGCGTAAAGGCAAGTGTTGGCCTGTTGATTGGCACCAACGCACCCAGTGTATTAGAGCCATGGGAGGTCATCAATAGCCAAGACAAAGGACCCTATGCCATTAGGACCATGCTGGGATGGGTGGTCAATGGCCCACTGAGTGGAAGCAGCGGCGCCCCAGTACCCTCCTCAACAGTGAACCGCATCTCTCTCCAAACACTGGAACTTATGCTTGTCAGTCAGTACCAGCAGGACTTCAGCGAAAAGGCTTTGGAGGAGAAGGAAATGTCCAGAGAGGACCTTAGGTTTATGGAAACCATGGAGCTGTCAGCAAAGTTGCAAGATGGCAAGTATTGCCTGAAGTTGCCCTTCAAGAAGAAAAATGTGTCTTTTCCTAACAACATGGCTGTGGTGAAGCAGGGAATGATGGGCCTGAGGAGAAGGTTTCTTAGCAACCTTAACTTGCACCAGGGGTATGCTGAGTATGTAAATGGACTTATCAGCAACACCTATGCAGAATGTGTGCCACCGCAGAACCTTCAAGCTGAAACAGGAAAGGTGTGGTACATTTCCCATCATGCAGTTTACCATCCAAAGAAAGGAACCCTTCGGGTGGTGTTTGATTGTGGAGCAACCTACCAAGGAGCATGTCTAAACAAGGAGCTGCTTCAGGGACCCAACCTCACAAGCTCATTACTCTGAGTCTTACTGCGCTTCAGAGAGGAACCTGTGGCATTTATGGGTGACATAAAGTCTATGTTCTATCTAGTGAAGGTTGCAGAGGAAGACGGACTTTCTCCGGTTTCTTTGGTGGCCAAATGGAGACCTCACACAAAATCTAGTGGAATTCAGAACGACAGTGCACTTGTTTGGTGCGGTATCCTCACCAAGCTGCACAAGCTACGCACTGAGGAGAAGTGCTGAGTTTCCTGCCAATGTGAGTCAGTCCGTCAAGGAAAACTTTTATGTTGATGACTGCCTGAAGAGCTCTACCACGGAACCAGATGCCATTCACATGATCAGGGACCTTACTGCGCTGTGCCAGAATGGAGGCTTCACCCTGGAGAAGTTTGCTAGCAACAGCCGTGGTGTTTTGCAGGCTATCACTGCAGAAAGACAAGCCACTTAAAGGATCTGGATCTGGACCGTGACAAGCTGCCAGTGGAGAGAGCCCTAGGTCTGCTGTGGTACGTGGAAACAGATTCCTTCCAGTTTAAGATTGAGTTAAAGCCACAAGCGCGTACAAGATGTGGTATGTTGTCTACCATCAGCTCAATCTACGACCCCCTGGGTTTCCTCACCCTAGTCACTATTCCGGCAAAGATGTTACAGCTGTGCAGAAGAGGATGTGGATGGGATGACTCCTTGCCACCTGACATCGTGCACCAGTGGAAGACATGGTTGGAGGACTTGGAGCTGCTCAACGCCTTCGAAATATCCAGGTGTGTCAAGTCGGTGACATATGGCAAAGTTGCTCGAGCTCAACTACATCATTTTGCTGATGCCAGTGAAGCCGGATATGGACCCGTGACATACCTGAGGATGTTGAACCAGCATGGACAAGTTCAGGTCTCCTTTCTCCTTGGCAAGGCCAGAGTAACACCATTGAAGGCAGTGACAATTCCCCGGCTTGAGCTGACTGCAGCAGTTCTCGCTGTGAAGATGGACTCAATGTTGAAAGGAGAGCTGAAATGGACATTTGAATATTCTGTGTTTTGGACTGACAGTACATCAGGGGTCCATTTCATGTAGGTGGTTCAACAAACTCTGAGTCAAATCCTTAACTCTGAGTTGATCTAGTCTGAGATAGGAAACTCGGAGTTGCTAAAACTGACTCAAATCAGGTGTTGTGAAACCGGAAACTCAGAGTAGTTTGACCTGGAGTTAAGCACGTGCACGCCAGACATAAACAACCAGCATCTGTGGAGCCCAGATTCATTGATCAACCAATGGAAACAGGGAGAAGGAGGGGGCAGCAGCAAGCCAACGGCGAATTACAGCACGTTTTTAAAAGAAAGTGCAATACAGCAGCAGCTGCAAAGGAGAGGGAGAGGGCATGGGAGGAAATTGCTCCTCGCATCAATGCGTAACTTTAAATCTAGTCTTGTGCAATCACAATGACAGACTGTTGCAGGGGAAACTGCGTGCATGGAGCAAATTAATTTATTTTATTTAGGTGCAATCCAGCGGGACAAAAGCGCACTTGGCAGCAGCTGAAAATTAAATACAAAAACATTGTGCAAACAGGTGAGACATCTGCATTTTCTCATTCTCATGTTTTACATTGTCAAGTAAGTATTAAGTGGCAGTTTGATCCCTTACAAAATGCTCTTTTCACACTCAAAAATGAATTTTACTCTCTTATGATGTTCTGTTAAATGATTAGGAATATTAAACTAACTCTCAGTATGTATATATACATAACACACACTACACTCAATATTAGACTTTCACTCAGCAAACAGAAAGAGGGCAGATGCCAGAAAAATGGGTGGTGGCCCAGCAGCCCCACCTTTAACGGAGGCAGAGGAGCTGTCCCCCAACCCCCCCCCACCCCCCCACCCCCCTTCGACGATCGCATTTCTTTGCAAACAGGAGGAGGACTGGCCTAATAATGTCTTGGGTGTTTCCTTGAGTGAATGGTTTCTCCAGTTAAAAGCCATCTTGTGGGAGAAAGCTCATTGGAGAAAACATCTGAAAGGAGCCAAGACATGTAGATCCAGTAAAACATCTGGCCAAGGTTTCAAGGCAACACCTAGGGGCAACATCTTGACGGTGAACGATCTGGTGGAGGCAGAAACAGCAGTGATCATCTATTGCCAGCAGCAGCAGTTCCAGGAAAAGATTGCTGCGCTGTCTTCCACGAGGGCCACAGTGAGTCGCCAAAGTCTCCTATATCGGCTTGATCCAGTCTTGGTGGATGGAGTGTTACGAGTCAGTGGAAGGCTGAGCAAGGGAGCAATGCCTGAAGAGTCCAAACACCCTATTATCCTTGGCAAAGAGCAGCACCTCACAACACTCATACTGAAACGTGCATCAGAGCCTCGGCCATGCTGGTCGTACGCATACTTTGTCGTCAGTGCGGAAGAAATTTTGGATTACTAAGGCCAACGCAGCTGTCAGGAAAGTGATTGCCAACTGTAACTTCTGTAGACGGTACAATGGACGACTACTGGAGCAATAGATGGCGGACCTCCCA